ATGAAGCTGGGGCGAAATGCGGCCGCGCAGCAGCTTGTGTGAAATTGACACGTACCATCGGGGCAAAAGGGAGGAGTGAGCGCGGAGCAGCGCTTGTGGGAAATCACCCTGACTCTGTCACAGGAAGCTCAGCTAAAATGCACACCGTAAATCAGAAAAGTGCAAACAAAATCAAGATTATGTTGGTGTGGTTAACGAGCATAGTCAATGAAACTATTAAAAGAAAAAGGGCTTCCTTTAAAAAGTGGAAGTCTTGGCCAAATGAGGAAAATCAAAAGGCTCATAACCTTTGACAACTGTAACATGAGTAAGTTGACTAAAAGGCAAGAATATGAGGAGTGTATTGCTAAATATTTTAAAGGAATGAAAAATTTATTTGAGTATATCAGAAGTGATCTTTTGAAATTAATGCCACCAATTCTGTGTGGCGTGCATCCAGGAAAACTCTGCCATCCTATTTCACCTATCCCATTTTTATCTTGTTCTTCATTCAGTGAGTTCAAAGAAGCATATATGGCTCTCCCTTTCCCCATTTCATCTTCACAACAATCCTGTGAGATAAATTAGATGCATAGAGAGTGACTGGTCTAAGGTTATCCAGTGACTTTTACATCTGAGAGAGGATTTGAACCCAAGTCTGACACTCTGTAACTGACCCATAGCTACAGTGAGGCATCTCGGGGCCCGGCCCCCTAACTTATCGCCAAGGCCCCTAACTTCCCATCCAGCCCAGGCGCTCCCTTGGGTGTGTGTGCAGGGGTGTGTGCGGGGTGCCCCCTGACTTATTTAAAGGCCCCCCAGATTTAAAAAATCCTGGCTACCACACTGACAGTCAAATATAAAATGTTTAATCTAATAAGAATATATGAAACACAGCTAAAATCAGCCTCTTTCCTGGAGAACTGGAAGACAGCCAACATAATACCGAATTTTTAAAAGGGATTATCACAGAATGAAAAATTATATTGCTTGTGAGAAGTCTCCTCACCTCCTCACCTTAAGGGGAGGGCTGTGGCTCTGTGGTGGAGCATCTGCCTGGCATGCAGAAGGTCCCAGGTTCAATCCCAGCATCTCCAGATGAAAAGGCCAAGCAGTGGGTGATGTGAAAGACCTCTGCCTGAGACCCTGGAGAGCCGCTGCCAGTCAGCTTAGACAGTACTGACCTGGATGGACCAATGGTGTGATTTAGTGTAAGGCAGCCTCACATGTTCATATGTGAGAGGCCAGAAGCCATTATATGACAGGGACACCCAGGAACATATAGATCTGGTAGTGTAAAGTCTGTTCCAGCTAAATCAATGAGAAGCATCAGTAAAGATAGACTTACTGAGCATACAGAAGCTTTGGTGGGAAAGAATCTGCTTGGCTTCTGCAAACAGAAGTCCTCTTTTACCAGCCTTTTAGAATTCTGTGATAGTGACAACCAAAATGTAAATTGGGCAAACGTCTAAAAAAATTATATACTTGGATTTCAAAAAAGTTTGCGACAAAGTCCCCCAGCTGCTATAAATTATGTCAGGAAAGAGGAACCTCTATATTCAGAGGCAGTATTCTATATTGCATTTAAACCTCACAGTTCATCCAACGTGAAATGCAAGGGGTGTGCAGAGGGTTCCCAGGAGGCCTCCTGGAAAAAGGATGTTGAAACTAGATGCCCTCCTAGCCTCATCCAGCAGGGTTCATTCTTTCTTGCTTTTCTTCTCTCTTCCTTGCTTGCTTTCCTTCCTTGTCCCTAGTAAATTACTATTCTCTTGAGTGTTCTGTTTTTGCACAGGAGACTCAATAGGGTTGCCGTTTCTTGGGGTGGGTCTCCGTTCTCAGATCTCAGGAAGTGGGGGCAGATGCAACCTGTCTCTCACTCTGAAACATGTAAATGTATATGCACACGATGCACAACCCACCGTTTAACATGCTCCATGCAACCCCCTTGATTCCACATCCTGCATCTGCAAATCAAATGTTTATAAAATGACATTGACCGGATGTACGTTCAACTTAACTGCAGCCCCTCTTCTGCTTTCTACCACTTGGTTTATATGTATCGATGGTTGGGCTCAAGGAGAACAAGCTTGGAAATAGCTTTGGCCTTTCTTAAATGCTGCCTCCTCCTCTGACATGTCTCAAGCTAATTATTTCTTGGTCTGCCACAGATAATGGTTTTGCTGTTGTATCTGAACCAGCAAATTATGGTTTGTGCTTGCCATGCAAAATGGGCTGCGGGGAAGTGGGGGGGTTTCCTGCTTCCCCAACAGCATTTGTGCATCTTCCAGGGTTTCCCTGGTTTTTCTCCCCAGTCCTTCCCAAGGCTTTGCTCCAAAGTTTTTGGAAATATCACAGCAAAGACTGAATGGTTGCTGTGTGGGTGGGAAAGTTTGCATTTTCAAAGCTGTGAGACAAGCAATTTGCCAGAAAGGATGTGGGCATATGGGTACCGTCCTGCATTGTTGGTGGGCTTGTCCAGTAATAGCATTATTTTGGGATAAGGTTTTGACACAGGTTACATTAATTACACATTATAACACTCCCAAATCTCCGGAGTGAGTTTTCAGAAATCTTTGGGATGACTGGAATATCCCAACAATAAGGAGAACCCTCATAGCAATTTTGCTTTCAGCGGCAAAATCTCTAATAGTTATATTAGAAAAGTAACACAGTTCCAACAATAGCCAAATACTATGGGGAAATTTTGGGACCATCTTCTCATGGATAAGTTATATATATATAAAAAATCCATATATCACAATCTTCCTATTTTGAATCTAAATTCTTTGAAAAATGGTCACCTTTCTTAGATTATGTGGAAGAAGATGAGTCAGGAGATATAAACATTCCAGATCGATATAAATGTATAACATTATTTTAAGACATGCTGAACAAACACCTGAAAGTTAATTACTTGTTTATCTTACCTTGGTAAATGTAGATTTGCATATGTACCATGGTTTGTGCTTCATTTTGGTTGATTGTAGTTTAATGTGTTGTATCTGAAAAATTAAAATAGTTATTCTAAAAGTTTGCATTTTCCAGGGCTTGCCCACATAGCAACCATTTTCCCCACAACAGCCATTTCTTCACTATTACTAGGGGTTTACCTTATAAAATCAATGACTGAATATCATCATACCAACATATGTATCAGGTTTCTGAATTCTCAGCCTTCATTTTTCAAAAAAAGCCTCTGTAGCCCCTTTTATTGCAGAGATATAATGGGAAAGGCATAACTCCACAAAGGGACAGAGACTCAGCATTGGGGGGGGGGGGGTTAATGAAAGCTGATAATTCAGATAATACCTTTCAGAGAATGCCTTTCAGCTGCCAATCCTTTAACTTCAGTCTTATTTTAAGGGCAAGTACATACTTATTTTATACTTTTGCCTTTCTCACCACTGGTGCCAGGGAGAAGGGGTTTCAGCTGTCCCTTCAGCCATTTTCTCGACCTGAAACAGCCATGGGGTTCTGTTTACTGCACATGCATCCCCCTCAGTTAGGTGCCTATCTGAATTAAACCCTGGCGCTCTTAAGAACTTTTGTTTCCCGCAGATTACATTTGACCATGAGACAATCCACATCAGGCCAAGGGAACCCGGACCTGACTCATGCCAAAACAGGTCTTCTATTTTGAGCCTGAGATAGGTTAGGTAGCTACTCATACACTTCAATGGTACCTATTTACCAGGAACAGTTCCTGTTTTCAAGTATGTGACAGCAAGAGTCAGAAGTGTCAAATTTCCTCAGGAAACTGGAGGTTTTTTTAAAAAAGTGTATGTATTTAATTCATTTATTCCCAACCTTTCTCCCCAAAGCAACTTGCATCATTCTCCTCTCCTCCATTTTGTCCTCACAACAGCCCTGTGAGGTGGGGTAGGCCAAGAGTGAGAGTGTGATTAATTACTCTCAGCATTCCACAATTAAGAAGGGTACATCTGCCCATCAGTCTCTGATTTTGATATATTTATTTCCTTCACTATATTTCCCCCCAGAATTAAACCCAAACAAATGATAGCCATATAAATTAAGCTTGTTATTCCAGTTTGATCCTTGCATCTGTCAGACAACTTTATTAAGCTGTACGGACTGACAATTTCCATTTCAATGTGTCTGAAGAAGTGTGTGTGCACACAAAAGTGTATACTTGAAATAAAACTTTGTTGGTCTTAAAGGTGCCACTGGACTTGAACTTTTTTCTGCTGCTTCAGACCAACATGGTTACCCATCTGAATCGAAAGAGTGAACTCTTGCTTATGTATTTATTGCATTGATACTTTTGCCTTTCTCACTAGTGGGGACCCAAAGTGGTTTACACCATTCTTCTCTCTTCCGTTTTATCCTCACAACAACCCTGTTAGGCTGAGAGTGTGACTGGCCCATAGTCACCCAGCAAGCTTCCATGGCAGAGAGAGAGAGAGAGAGAGAGAGAGAGAGAGAGAGAGAGAGAGAGCATAGAGGGCACGAGAGAGAGAGAGAGAAGGCTGAGCATCGAAGAATAGATTCTTTTGAACTATGGTGCTGGAGAAGACCCTTGAGAGTCCCTTGGACTGCAAGAAGATCAAATCAGTCAATTCTAAAAGAAATCAACCCTGACTGTTCCCTGGAAGGCCAGATAATGAAACTGAAGCTCAAGTACTTTGGCCGGTGTAATGTATCCAGTCCAGACATGTCCAGACAGGTCCAGACAAGTCTAGAGACAAACGTTGAGCTTCGCTCCAAGAGACAATGGACTATGCGGATCCTAGCCCGCTCCAATCAGGGGGCTAGGTTCCCGGCTGAGAGCCTATGGGACTCTTGGCTACTGTAAATAACCTATAGGGAAGTAGGGATGTGTTTTGGGTGGCGGTTTCTCGGGGGATATAAGCCGGCCTGTGAGCCGGCCAAAGTTGTCTTGTTCCGGATAGAATAAAGTATGCTTTGCTGAAATCACTCTCCATTTGCGTACTTTTCAGCCACCAAATGAGAAGGGAGCACTCACTGGAGAAGACCCTGAAGCTGGGAAAGATTGAAGGTCAAAGAAGACAGGGACGGCAAAGGATGAGATGGTTAGACAGTGTCATAGATGCAACAAACATGAAATTGAGCAAACTTCAGAGGACGGCAGAAGACAGGAAGGCCTGGCATGATGTGGTCCATGGGGTCGCGAAGAGTCGGACTCGACTGTGCAACTGAACAACAACAACACCTAACTTCTAGTCTGACACTACACCCCACTGGTTCTCAGTTTTTCACATCTTCTGAGGGGTATCTGCTTTGTCTTCTGAGGGGTATCTGCTTTGTCTTCATTTCTCCATGTTCTTTAGTCCCACTTTCTCATTCCCCTACCGTTGAACCAGAGCCCAGATCTGCTTGTACATCTGAAGATCCTGCCAGGGCTGCCTAGGTGGGACAAGTGAAGCATACATGATGAGCACGCTCATAGACCCACACATCATTGTAATTGTAGAATCATAGAGTTGGAAGGGACCTCCAGGGTCATCTAGTCCAATAATGTAGTAAGGATCAGACCTACTCAGCAATACTTCTCAAGCAACTTCTTCCTTGGCCTAATATAACCCAAGGCAATAGCCTTCTGTTGGGAAGTCCCATTGAGAGGGGAACACTACAAAACCACAACTACGAGGAAGATATCTGAAAAATACAGAAAAATCCACTGAAGCATTTTCATCAAAGATGCTGAAGCCATCATTTCATAAACAAAAAGCCAAGCACATTTGGGGTTAATCAATACACTGAATGAAAAAAACAACAACCCTCTCTCTGCTTCTTGCTTTGACAGAGGATATATTTAGTCCTTCAGTAAAGAGAAAGCTTTGCTGTGCGAGAGGAGAATTTGCTGTGCGAGAGGCACGACTGCCGAGTAGATTAAAAGGGCACAATCATACGTCAACATCTGGCAAGCGTCACACACCTGTCTCCAACCCGTAGTGTCCGGCCGAATATGCAGAGTTAAAAAGCAACTGGGAAAGTGTAGTATTATCCGGAAAATGCGGGGCGCGGGCGGACATCTGATCGCAGAAGCACTGGTATCCAGTTGCATCCAGCGCCCGTTCACATCCCACCGGATGTTTTGTTGTAAGCCTCCGTGGTATGTGCACAAACGCGCATGCGCATGAACATGGTACTGCTTCGTTGCCACGCTTCGCCATCACCGTGTGATCAGTGGCTGACGGCCTGAGCATGGAGCCTCAGGGGAATGTTGGATCGTGATACCACACTTCATTTTGCTCCGGAGCAAAAAGCTTCATTCCCCTGTCCCCCAATTATCTCGCTCGTGTGAGAGTTTGCAGGTAAATTGTGAGCAGAGTGTATGATATACCAAACACTTCTGTCATGGAAAAACAAATATGTGTTGCTCTTGTCATGTCCATGAGATGGAAGGTGCTTTGAAGCTCACGAAGGAGTCCCCAGTACTCTGGGAACCACATTCTTTCCCGGGGAAATGGGCCAGAAAATGCTGAAATTGCCATCAACAGGGAGATGGGTTTCTGCAGAGAGATAACCATTTGCCCAAACTGCCAGGAAGGGCAAGACAGACAGCAGTTGCCAAAGCATGAGCTGGGCAGTAAAATGTGTCAGAGCTGTGCACCACAGTGATTGGGGTATGAGTGCGAGGGTCGCACAAGGGGATAGACTCCCAAAGTCAGGATTGGACATGGGGAGATCTGAGTAATGTTGTTCAGACGCCAGGTCAAGCATTTGTTCCAGCTATCCGTCCAAAGGAGAAACACTGAGGTAATGACAGTAACCCTGAAGTTAAACTAGTGAATATGTTTTATTTTGTTTTCCTAGATCTGCTATAGCCTGTGTATACTGTATTCATTTCCCCCTGTGTAATGTGCTCTAGATAGTTAAGCTGTAGTAAATAAAAATCCTTTCCCTTGTTTAAGAAAGCAGACTGTGTTCAAAATACCTTTGACTGCTCATAAGCGCACGCGCACACATACACACAGAGGGGGAAGTTGGAGTTGGGAAACTGTACTCTGTATATGTGCAGAGGGCCTTCTACTGGCAGCATCCCAAACTGCTAGTAAACGTGATAGGCTGAGTTCGGTTTGGGTGGTGGCGGAACCAAAGAAAAGGGCAGAGGAAGGACATAGGAGAGTACAGTGCAGAAAAGGGCAACTCGAATTATAAAAGGGTTGGAACACTTTCCCTATGAGGAAAGGTTAAGGCGCTTAGGGCTCTTTAGCTTGGAGAAACGACGACTGAGGGGTGACATGATTGAGGTTTATAAGATTATGCATGGGAAAGAGCAGGTAGAGAAAGAGGTACTTTTCTCCCTTTCTCACAATACAAGAACTCGTGGGCACTCCATGAAATTGCTGAGCGGTCGGGTTAGAACGGATAAAAGGAAGTACTTCTTCACCCAAAGAGTGATTAACACTTGGAATTCACTGCCACAGGAAGTGGTGGTGGCTACAAGCATGGACGGCTTCAAAAGGGAATTAGATAAGCATATGGAGCAGAGGTCCATCAGTGGCTATTAGCCACAAGGTATAGATAGGGACTCTCAGTCTGGGGCAAGGGATGCTCTGTATTCTTGGTGCTTGGGGGGGGCAACAGTGGGAGGGCTGCTAGTGTCCTGGCCCCACGGGTATTTTTGGTCATTGTGTGACAGAGTGTTGGACTGGATGGGCCTTTGGCCTGATCCAACATTGGCTTCTCTTATGTTCTTAGGCAATCATCAACAGATTACACTGGTGCCACAAACTACTACCCGGGCCTATATCAGAAGAGACAGTCCTTTGAATATGTGGATCCCAGGATGTGTCAGGCTTTATGTGTCAGAACCAATACCATGAATTGGAAGTCAGTACAGAATAATGCAACAAACATGAAATTGAGCAAACTTCAGAGGACGGTGGAAGACCGGAAGGCCTGGTGTGATCTGGTCCATGGGGTTGCGAAGAGTTGGACTCGACTGTGCAACTGAACAACAACAACAGAACAATGCCCTGGAAGGCCAGATACTGAAGCTGAAGCTCAAATACTTTGGCCACCAAATGAGAAGGGAGCACTCACTGGAGAAGACCCTGATGCTGGGAAAGATTGAAGGTCAAAGAAGACGGGGACGGCAAAGGATGAGATGGTTAGACAGTATCATAGATGCAACGAACATGAAACTGAGCAAACTCCGGAGGATGGTGGAAGACAGGAGGGCCTGGTGTGATGTGGTCCATGGAGTTGCGAAGAATCGTACTTGACTGCACAACTTAACAACAACAACAGAATAATGCTGTTTATATGGACACAATAGCTCCCCACAACCAGGCTAATCCCTAACATGGGTTAAAGAAAAAGGAGGTGTCATCAAGTCGCAACTGATTCATGGCAACCCCATCCACAGGGTATTCCAGGCAAGAGACAAGAAAAGGTGGTTTGCCACGGCCTTTCTCTGCATAGCAACCCCAGTCTTCCTTGGTGGTCTCCCATCCAAGTACTGACCATGGCCAACCCTGTTTAGTTCCCAAGCTCTGATGATCCCTGGCTAAACTGGGCTATACAGGCTGTTTGGTTTTTTTAAAAGATAGAAGCAGCACTTGTATCTTTAAGAAAAGAATGCTGTCTTAGTAGCAGCTGTAGGAGTTGCTATGTGATCACAACAGTAATAATAATAATAATAATAATAATAATAATAATAATAATAATAATAATTTCAATTTATTAATCACTTTCCCCAGTGGGCTCAAAGCGATTTACAGTTACACATTATAGGCAGGGGACTAACAATGTTCATAGGGGATAGGGAAGACAACATATATTCATTTACTTACACACGCCGTCACTGCACGGTGTAAACGTCTTCTGGCTTGGCTCAGTCATTTTCTGAACTGCTGCTTTTGTCGACCAGGCTTCAGGACCGTATGTCAAATCGCCACACTGCCACCGCCTGGCCGAAAACATCCACTGCAGGGATTTTTGTAGCCGAGAAGCTCTTCCACCTTTTCCGAACCTTGACCAAGACGTCCCAACCGTCAGCTAACACCCTCCCACAAGGGAGATGTACTCGCTGAAGCTTTTGAATTGCTGGGTGGACAATGAGCTGGGGACAACAGGCTGGCTGCTCACACCAGCACGGGGCTCGAACTAACACACTTCGGATGTTAAGACAGTGGGATATCCCCACTGTGCCACCGCTCCCCAGCCTTCAAGTTTGGTTTCTGTTTGTAAAAGGCAGGGGAAGGGACTTTCTCAGGGTTATTTTGGCCTTTGAGGGAGTACTTATTGGGGCTAGGCAGCAACCATCAGACAACTTGATACCATGTGATTTGCATAACTCAGCCCCCAGGACTGACTGCTTGCTACTGTTCAACAGCAGACACCCCACAAAAGTGTGGTATAGTGGTTAGAGTTTCATACTAGAGCCCCCCCCCCCTCGACCCCCGGTCCAAAACAGTCCAGTGGCACCTTTAAGACCAAGTTTTATTCAGGTACAAGCTCTCCCTCCTCCCCTGTGGGGAAAATCTGCCCAATCCCCCCCCCCCCCAAGAGCTAGCTGTCCAAAACAGTCCAGTGGAGCCTGAGCGGTGATGTTGCCTTCTGACACAATTCCGGTGATGTCAGGGTGTGTGGCATATCCAAATGTTATGCTAATGAGCTATGCTAATGAGCTCCTGCACCTCTTTTTCTACTAAATGACCCCTGATCATTATCAACCTGCTGTTTGACACTGATAAAGTGTTTGCTGTTTTTTCACCCTGGCAGTCATGCAGTGAACATCTGAACCAGGAAATAAAGCATGCAGCCTTGAGATATTTGTCAGGAGGGCAGTTTAAGACCTGGCTGCATTCATGCCTAGTTCCTGCATGCAAAAGAATGCAGGTGGAAAGGGGCACATTTTGGAGTGTTCTCCTATGTTAAAAACTCAAGGCAGATAATATACCAGCACTGCAAGCAAAGAAATGGGGTAAAACTTTACTCCTTGTTGTGCTAGTTTTGCATTTGCACAGAGCTTTTCTATGTGAGGGAAATGCAAAGCTGGAGCCCAGAACCTGCAGTCTAAAGTGCTGCACCTCAGGGGTCTACCACCCACTCTTTTGCACAATTTGAACCAGGTTACAGCAGATATAATTTTCCAATAAGGTTGTGCTAGGCTGCCCTGGGTTTAATTTTTTTTAGCATAATAGACTGTTTGTGTTTTGCATAATGGTTTTCTTTTATTATGGGTTTTCCTTCCTAACTGGTTGTCAAATGAATTTTCCCTTTAATGTTTATATGATTTTATTTGCCTAAAACATTTACATCCTTTGAAACATTTCAGCTTCTGCTTTTGTGATGAGCAGCAAATATCAGTCTCTTTGAGAAGCTCCGGCAGGCGAAGAAACGTCACTAGCTCCACAAGCTGGCCTTCCTGTACCACTGCATCTCGGGTTTTGGTATGTTGGGGTGGGCTGGAGCATGTGTGTGAGAGAGGGGAGAGAGAGAAAGATCACATTTGGGAACTCAATTCAGCTCTAAATGGAATGCAGACTCCAAGGCACAATAATTTGTAAGAATCCATCTGGATCTAATTTCTTTTTATTTATTCATCTATATAGGCAATTTCTATGTGCCACCTCAGCAGAGTTTTCAAACCATCTTCATGGGAAGTAGACAAGAGTCACTGGAAAAGACAACAATGGTAGGAAAAGCTGAAGGCAGCAGCAGAAGATGAAGACCCAACATGAGACGGATTGACTCAGTCAAGGAAGCCACGAGGGCCCTCAGTGCACAAGACCTGAGCAACGCTGTTAACAATAGGACGTTTTGGAGGACATTCATTCATAGGACTGAGGCATGAGATTTGATTATATTGTTTATTGTGCCATCGATTGTTTTATTGCTTTTACTGTTTTATTGTTTTACTACATGTAGTAAGCTGCCCTGAGCCCACATGTGGGATAGGGCGGGGTACACATTGAAATAATAATAATCACCATCATCATCACCATCATCATCTTCATCATCATCATCATCATCATCATCTTGCCATAAGGTAGAAGCGACTTAATGGCACTTAACACACACAGGGGCAGATCCTGGAACTAAGCACTAAAATCTCCTCTGCTGCTTTCCCCAGCATCTTTTTGTTCCATCAGCACACCCTGACCCGGATAGCCCAGGATAGCCTAATCCTGTCAGATTTCAGAAGCTACCCAAAATTGGCTTTGGCTAGTATTAGGAAGGCCAATCTCCAAGGAATACCAGGGACTCATGACATAGAGGCAGGCGATGACAAACCACCTTTGAAACATCTCTTGCCTTAGTCTAGCTTGCCACCAGTGGTTGTTGTTGTTCAGTCGCACAGTCGAGTCTGACTCTTTGCGACCCCATGGACCAGATCACGCCAGGCCTTCCGGTTTTCCGCCGTCCTCCGAAGTTTGCTCAATTTCATGTTCGTTGCATCTTTGACACTGTCTAACCATCTCATCCTTTGCCGTCCCCGTCTTCTTGGACCTTCAATCTTTCCCAGCATCAGGGTCTTCTCCAGGGAGTGCTCCCTTCTCATTTGGTGGCCAAAGTATTTCAGCTTTAGTTTCATTATCTGGCCTTCCAGGGAACAGTCCGGGTTGGTTTCTTTTAGGATTGACTGATTTGATCTTCTTGCAGTCCAAGGGACTCTCAAGAGTCCTCTCCAGCACCATAGTTCAAAAGAATCTATTATTTGGCACTTGCCCTTCCTTATAGTCCAACTCTTGCAGGCATACATGACTACTGGGAATACCACTGCTTTGACCATGCAGACTTTTGTTGGCAGGGTGATGTCTCTACTTTTTATCATGCTGTTTAGGTTCGCATAATGCTAAAAGGGCTTCTAGCTGGTCGGCAATCTTAGGATCTTCTGGCTATTCTACACACAATGCCATATGGTAATTAATTATCTCCCTGCCTGCAACCCCCCTACAGCCATTAACAAGCTTAATAAAACTAGGAAACAGTTATAGCCAACTACCACTATTTTGAATGTCCTTTTATTTATTTCATTTGAATTTGCCATAATAGTATATAATCTTGTACTTCCTACATTTCATGGTAGTTCAACCCTGCTGTTAATTTATTCTTCTTCATGGCCTCATACACACACATGTATATTTGCCTAGTGAGTACTCACTCTATATGCATCTGACAAAGTGGACTATTCTATGAAATTATTTGCTAAAATAAAATTTTGTCAAGTTTTTGTCCCCCAAGAATCCTGCTTATTTTCACTCCTATAGTTATACAAAGGAAGGCAATGGCAAACCATCTCTGCTCATCACTTTTCTTGAAAACATCACGGTATGACACTGGCTATCATAGGGAGGCCACCTCAGCAGGGTAAACTGACACAGAGTCCACCATTTTCTCCATGGGAACTGATCTCTGCCATATGGAGAGCAGTTGCAATTCTGAATGATCTCCAGCCCTCACCTGGAGATTGGCAACAATGGCTTCCCAGGAGAAAATGGCTGGTTTAGAGGGTGGAGTCTATGGCATTGTACCTATCTGAGGTCCCAACCCTCCTCAAACCTCACCCTCTCCAGGCTCCACCCCAGAAATCTCCATGAATTTCCTAACCTGGAGTTGACAACCCTATCTCCTTCCCAGCCAACCATCAACCTACCTTTACCTGCCCTAGTGACTTCAGCTTTCCATCTTCCCACCACCTGCAGCCTCTACCTAGGAAAAGTACAGTCTTTCTCCACATTGGGGACCCCAGTAGGAGGAAAGCAACCTCAGCAAGGTATAATGACACAGAGTCCACCCTGCAAAGCAGTCATTTTCTCCAGGGGAACTGATCTCTGCCATCTGGAGAGTAGTTGTAATTATGAGTGATCTCCAGCACTCCCCTGGAGATTGGCAGCAATGGATCCCCAGAAGGAAATGGGTGGTTTGGAGGGTGGAATCTATGGCATTATACCTGTCTGAGATCCCACTCCTCCCCAAATTCTGGCTTCTGTAGACTCCACCACAAAATCTCCAGGGATTTCCCAATCTGGAGCTGTAACCATAGTCAGGACTGGCCCAATGAGTTCCCCACCAAGGCCACAGTAGGCCTGGAATGGGCCTCCTGCCTTTGCCTTTTTACTGACAGAACCAAGCTTGGTTGCCACTGAGGAAAAAGTTAGCCCCACAGGAGCCAAGCAGGAGAAGTGTCTTCGTCAGGAGAGACAGCCATTTTGGCAGTTTATTCTGTCATGGCAGTGGCTAGGCTGGCAGTGGGTGGGGGAGAGGAGCGGACCCAGCACCCAGCCAATGGCACGTGAGTACTCGAGTGGCAGTTGATGGGCCAATGGCTGATGGAACGCACAGCAAAGCCAGTGGGAGAGCCGTAAAGTACCAATATGTTTGGATTTTATATATATATATAGGATATTGAAAGAATATGGTGAGATAGCAGGCCTTGAGTATAAATTATGGTAAGTCAGAAATGCTTGTATTGGAGATTCCCCCCCCCCCACACACACACACATAGGCTTTGGATGTAAGTAGGACAGACATGTGAAACCAAAACAGGTGGTTGCCAGCTCTGAGTTGGGAAATACCTGTCAGGTTCCACAGCCAACAACTGAGAACATGCTTATCAGAAAGGTTATACTTTATTGAAGAGCTATAGATGCATTAACAGAGGCACTATTAAGAATGGTGTCGCCCATACAAGCATAATGGGATATATGGTATTCGTATGCACCCCCCCCTCGGGCCAATTAGCCACATTCCTACGCGTGGGAGAAGGAGCCCCAGGCCGTTAGAGCGAAAGCTGGGAACCGACAGCGCTCCCACAGTTCCCTCACTCCTAGACACCACACCACCTGCACAGCTATAGATAAGCAAGTGCTACTGCAGTGAAGAAGCACAGAAGGAACGCAGCAGTACTTTGTACAAAGGTCATCTGACCCCTCCCGCTACCATGGCAGCATAGCTGACAATACCTGAAGAGTTTGGGGGTAGAGCCTGAGGAGTGTGGGGTTTGAGGACGGGAAGGACTTCAGTGGGGTACAATACCATAGAATCCACCTTCTAAAGCAGCCATTTTCTCCAGGCAAATTTACCTCTGATGACTGGAGATCAATTGTAATCCCAGGAGATGTCTAGCTACCACCTGGAGTCTGGCCACCTATCACAACGAGTTTAGACCAAAGCATTAAAGATTCAATAGAAAGGTGCCAATATATTGGTGGTACATTTCTGTCAGACATGATTTGTTACAGCACCACTGCATAACTTCAGCCATCAATGAGATAGGATATAAGCACTGCTATGTTTGCCCTTCACTTTTGAGAGGACTGAGAAGTTTCAGGGTCTAACACTTACTAGGGTTGGTTCTCCTGGAAGGACAGAGTCCTGTACAATAATCTCCAATGGTTACAGAGTGGCAGCTGTGTTAAGTCCGTTGCCGCAATAATAAACCAGAATGTAGTTGCCCTTTTCAGACTAACCATTTTATCCAAGGACACAGACCTCTTAGGCAGATACAAAAGAGAACTCATATAGTGGTTAAGAGTGTCGGATTAGTATCTGGGAAACCTGGGTTTGAATCCACACTCATGTCATGGAAGCTTGCTGGGTGATCTTGGACCAGTCACACTTTCTCCGTCTAACCTTCCTCATAAGGTTGTTGAGAGGGTAAAATGAAGAGAGGAGAATGATGTGAGCCTCTCTGGGTCCCTGCTGGGGCGAAGGTAGAAGTATAAACGAAGTAAATACATAAACAAGAGTTCAGTCTTTTCACAGGAATCACAAATAAACAAAGAGTCATATACTGGCACTTACATTAAAATTTAAGTTGAAGAAGGGTTGGCAGCTGACAGGCAAGTATGCCCGCACAAGAACTGTGTACTGTGGGAAAGGGGCAAGAATACAAAAGCTGCCCTTGGCTGGGAGGGCGGGGTACAAATCTGATAATAAATAAATAAATAAATACAAAATAAAAGCTTCCACCAGAATCACACTGAAGCCTCACTACACTTTCCTGTTTTTCGTCTTGCCCGACGACGCTGCCAACTGATCTGGGGGAAGAAATGGCTGGGGCAGAATGTTTTGCTATGGGCCCAAAGACGAGAAAACGAGAGCCAGGGACTCTGTTTTCCCCTTTAACGCCCCTTCCCCCATGCCGGCTCGGAGAGTGAAGAGGCCGCGTTTGCGGGGCTTGGCGGCTCCAGGATGAAGCCCTGCGGCAGCCCGGCTGGGGCGTGGCTCCAAGGACGAGCCGCCGGGCCGCTTTCGGTTTCATTTCTCCCCGGCTACGAAGCGGAAGCGAGCCCTTCTGGCCCGGAGGGGGCGGGAGAGCTGCGCGGCGGAGAGCGCGCCTGGCGGGCAGGGGGGCCTCCCAGGAGAGCAACGCCCGAGGGGGTCGAGCCGCCGAGCTTCCCCCAGCGGCCCGGGATGGACGCCGCCGCGCTGAGCAGCCGAGCTTTCCGGGAGGTGTGCGCCGCGGGCGGCTGCCTGGCCGAGAGCGTGCTGGCTCGGCGGCTGAATCGCCGGGACCACTCCACGCATCTGGCCCGGGTGCTGGCGGACGCCACGAAGTTCGCGCTGGTGACCCGGGAAGAGGAGGCGGCGGCCGGCGGCGGCGGCGAGCAGCGGGGGGGGGTGGGCGTCACCGGGGTGCGCCTATGCCGGGAACATGGCGGGGGCCAGTGCGCCGGGCAGTGCCGCCAGCTCCATCTCTGCCGCTACTTCGTGTACGGGGGGTGCCGGCATCAGGGCACCAGGTGAGACCGCCTCGACGGACTCGAGTCGGGGGAGCCGTGGGAATGGAGGGCTTTGGGAGCCCTTTTCGGGGCAGAGAACGCGGCGCGCAGCCCACTCCTTTGTGTACTTCCCGGTGCCTGGTAGCGCCACCTGTGGCCACGACTCCAGGCGCAATTACTAGGCGCTAAGTTTCGTAGAGTTTCCGTGAGAACAGCTTTAGGGTAGAGGCATAATAATAAAACAGTGGAGGGAAAGTATTGATCCGGTTTGCCGTTTCCGAATGAAGAACCAGCTCTGTGATTGTCCCGGATTTTTAAAAGGAAGAGTTGTGCGATGGGAACCTGGGCTTGCCCCTCTCCCCCTTTGTCTTATATGCGGGGGGGGGGGGACGGTTTCTTAAAACACTGATGGTTCGTTCCAGTTGGTCTGAAGCAGTAGAACAAATTTAGAGTCCGGTGGCACCTTTACGACCAACAAAGGTTTGCTCAAGGTATGAGCTTTTGAAAGTTCTTACCTTGAGTAAACCTTTGTTGGTCGTAAAAGTGCCACCGGACTCTAAATTTGTTCTACTGATGTGTAGTTACAATGTTGTCTTTGCCTGTAGTGCTGAGTGTGCAGGGCTTGACTGTCATCATTTTTAAAAATCGCATCATTTTATTAGCATATCAGTTCAATGATGTTGACCTTTAAAGAGAGATGAAAGCTCGTCTTCCTTCTGAAAAGTTCGGAAGAGTTGGGTTTTGAACATAGCATTCCAGTGGTTTTCCCAGGACTTTTCAAATTAAACCTATTAAGATGAAACCACATCCAGACTTTCCCCTTAGGGAGCACTTGTCTTTTGCAGGCCTGTCAAAGGGAGGTTATGTCTTGGCTTTGTTTTGCCTATTGTTTTTTTCTTTTCATCTATTGTTTTTCTGACCTGGATGGCCCAGGCTAGGCTACCAGACCACCAGGCAAATCCAGGGTTGTGTGACATATAAGCAGCCAGTGGCAAACCACCTCTGAACCTCTTTTGCCTTGAAAACCCTAGAGGGGCTGCGGGGCACCATAAATCAGCTGTGACTTGAGGGCAATATTTTTTTTGTTTATCTGCTGATGATTATGCTGATGGAGGGGGGGAGTTCTTGATTCTTATTCTCCAATGGTTCACAATAAGGGTGCCTTTCAACATTTAATTGATAAACAGGAAGGAAAAAGGCCTTGTGTCTAGCCGTCCTGCAGATAAAAGCAATCCTAAACAGGTCCACCCTTGGGTTTATTCCATATCGATTAATCTCATAAAAGTATTGTTAGGATTACATTGTGTTTATATAGTGTAGGCAGAACGACAGTGAGCAGAACTGTAGCAGTGCCTTAAAAACAAACCACAAGTACTCCAGCGTAAGCGTCATGGAGTCCCAGCTCACTTTAATCAGCTGCGTGGAATGTGCAATGAGTCAGGCTAACCTCAGACCATCTGTAGCCAGTGCAGAAGCCCAAACCCTTCTCCAGCAAGTCTGTGGGAGAGACACTGTTGACACTAGGCGGTGCATATAAATATTGCCAGTTGTTGCCAGGATCTGCTTTATCTTTGAGTAGCCTCTCTTTCAGGGGCATGGTGCCCTTCTTCTTTTTGTGCTTGCCACATCACACAGCTGATGTAGTGGGATCCAGCCCACAAATGTTTATGCCACAATAAGCTTGCTAACATTTGAAGTGCCATAAGACTATTCTCGCCCTAACCTGGATAGCCCAGGCAAACTTGATCTCGGAAGCTAAGCAGGGTCAGTATTTGGATGGGAGACCACCAAAAAAGTCCAGGGTCCCACTCCCAAGGCAGGCAATGGAAAAACCGACTTTGAATGTCTCTGGCCTTGAAAACCCCACAGGGTTGCCATAAGTAATCTGTGACTTAATGGCAAACCAACCCCCCCCCCCCAAGACTAAGCTTTTTCTACTTTTTTTTTTTGGCATCAGACAAACACCATTACCTCTCAGGAACTGAAAGCATCCTAAGAATCTCATGAGAGTTCCCGGCTGCTCTGATTCCTTATCTATCTTGGTTACGATATATGTAAGGGAAGGGAGTGTGGGGGAGGTTTCAGCAGAGGGTGGGTTTTTTTGTCTTGAGTTCTCCCACATCTTTTGAAGCGACAGGGGAGGAAAAACTTCTCCCCCTCCCCCCAGCTGTCCCCATGAGGACAATTAAGCCCTGAGTGGCTTGGCTCAAGTTTCTGTTTAAGTACTTCCTACTCTACGGAGGGGAGCAGGATTTGGCAACAAGGGTCCAAAACATAAAACTTTTTTTTTTGCTACAGCCTTTTGCTGTGTTTTTCTTTTAAATAGAAATTGTTAAACACATCTTTTAAATAGAAATTGCTTGACACATAAACACACCTCTTGAAATTATATATCTTGTTTTGCTAAAAGCAAACTTTGAGAGCCAGTTTGGTGTAGTGGTTAAGTGCGTGGACTCTAATCTGGGAGAACCAGGTTTGATTCCCCACTCCTCCACTTGCACCTGGCTGGATGACCCTGGGCAAGCCATAGTTCTGATAAGGGCTGTTCTTGAAAAAGAACAGTTTCTGTCAAGAGCTCTCTCAGCCCCACCTACCCCACAGGGTGTCTGTTGTGGGGAGGGGAAGGGAAAGGAGTTTGTAAGCCGCTCTGAGACACCTTTGGGATGTGAAGGGCGGGGTATAAATCCAATCTCTTCTCTTCTTCTTCTTCTTCTTCTTCGTCTCTCATTGTTCTTGGAAGAGAGCCCCTGGATATTTTTCTGAAGAAGTGTGCATGCACACGAAAGCTTATACCCAGAATTAAACTTCGTTGGTCTTAAAGGTGCCACTGGACTCAAGCTCTTTTTCTGATAATATGTAAGAGAGAAAAAAGACTGCAGTCCATCTAGTGGAAGGTAGCTTCTTTCTTGATTTTGATAGGATGAATTTTGAAAAACCCAGTTTTAATAACACAGAAAAGGCAGAGTGGTTTTTTAAAAAAATGTTCAAAATACCATAGGATTGAGATGTCAAAGCTAAGGCCCACGGGCCGGAACCAGCCAGCCCAGGGCTTCAATCAGGCCCGCGGCTCTCACTGAAAACAGTGAGACTTCGTTTGGAGAAAGCAAACAAGAATCACAGTATATGACTCAGGCCTGCTATAAATGATAAATAGCTTTAAAGAAATTCCTTTGTGAGAGTGAAAAATTGATGCAATTATTGGCATGTTTTTACTTTCAGGAAACAGTGCAAATTCATCCATGACATTCATTCACCACACAATCTGAGTGTCCTGAAAGAGCATGGGTTGGAGAGTTTGAACAGTGAAGAGTTATGTCAGCTGCTGCTTCAGAATGATCCTTCACTACTTCCTGAGGTGAGGCCTACTGGATATGACTGATGATGCTTCCTGTAAAACGGAATATCAAGTCAAAGGTGGAACAAAACTGAATGGAAGAATAAGTGGTCCCTGAAGGATAGCCAAGGGACTTCGGGATAGCACAGGGCTGCACAGTTAGTGTTAGATTAGATGCTGGGAAACGTAGGTTCAAATCCCCACTCTCTCGCTCAAGTTTGCCCTGTGACTTTGGGACAGGTTTCTCTCTTTCAGTCTAACCTACTTCACAGGATTTTCATTGTGAGGGTAAAATGGAGGAAACTGGAAGAGAACACTGGAAGTAGTTTTGAGTATCCATTGGGGTGTAACATATCTTCGCAGATAAATACGTATCTTTAAAAATGTCAGATTCTAATCCTCATACTTGCAAGCCTGTGTTTGACAATGGAGTGTGGGATATGGTATTGAAAAGTAACCCCAACTCTCTGTTTTTAAATCTCCGTGGCATCTTGGAGCCTGTAATCAGGACTCATTCAGGTCTGACGTGACAATAGGTTTGCCAGCTCCGGGTTGGGAAATACCTGGAAATTTGGGGGGGCGAAGCCGAGGAGGATGGGATATGGTGAGGGGAGAGACTCCAACAGGGTGTAATGCTGTAGAGTCCACTTTCCAGAGCGGCCATTTTCTCCAGGTGAACTGATCTCTTGTCTGGAGATGAGTTATAATGGAGATCTCCAGCCACCTCGTGGAGGTTAGCAACCTTGTGTGACAGTGTTGTAGGGAGAATACGTATCGGGATGTGCATTGCACTGGTTCAAATGATTCATCATGGACTGGACTCAAAAGGTTGTTGTTGGGGACTGGTTATCATCAGTGTGGGACCTATCCTGTGAGGTTCCACAGGGTGCAGCCTTATCCCCCTTGCTTTTCAATCTGTGTGTAAAGCATTTAGAAGAAATCGTTCATAGTTTTGGGGTTGGTTGTCATGAATACGCTGATGATACCCAGCTCTATATCTCCTTGAAAGCTCCTGTTGAAGCAGTAGATCTAGACATGTCTCCAGGGTCTTCCCCCACATGTCCAGGGATTGCCCAACCCGGAGTTGGCAACCATAAGGGGTAAGGAGGGCTGGTTTGGCCCCAAGCGCTGCTGAAGAGGGAATATGGGTCACGGTCAGTGGTAGGATATCCCCAGTACCTGGCGTTACATTTTATGGCACACATGGCCTGGCCCAACAAAGTGACATTTATGTTAGATCTGGTCCTCATAACAAGTGAGTTTGACACCTGAGTAGAGGGCCTGAATCACTGCGCGGCTGCTTTGGTTTAATGGCGAAGAGTGAACAAATTGAAACTAAGCCCTGAAAAGACAGAAGTAATGCTGGTTGGGAAGGCAGAGACCTTTAAGCACATGTGTTCCTTGCTTTCGTTGGGGTTCAGCTGACCCTTGCCTCCTCAGTTAAGAGCCTTGGGGTTATACGGAATCCAGCATTATTGTGTGAATCTCAGCTCTTCGAAGTTTATTTTCTTGAGACTGAGGATTCGGACTGCTGCCAGAAACACCTAAACATTTACTTATCTATGTTTGCCTCTTTCCTTGGATTAGTAGTATCTAAACCTGCATATTTTAAAGATATTCTTGTATCCATGTTCTCTTTCTGTTCTTAGGTATGCACATACTATAACAAAGGGGATGGACCCTTTGGGTCTTGTACCTTCAAGACAATCTGTATCAAACTTCACATATGCCAGTACTACCTCCAGGGAACATGCAGGTTTGGAAGCGACTGCAAACGCTCACATAACATTTGTGACCCCGAATGTTGTGAGAAGCTGGAGAAGTGGGGATTTGGCCGAATCCTGATTGGGAAGCTTCCTTTGATTTACAGGAACATGTATGACATCAAACACAACACAACACCAACTTGCAAAGGTAGAGTATTTTATTTATTAAAATATTTGCATAGTGGGCCCAAGGCTTCCGGGTGTGCGCACATAGAACAATTAAAACCATAAAAATCAGAAAAGGGGTCAATATTAAAAAGGTAAAGGTTCCCTTGCTCGAAAGCCAGTCGAATCCGACTCTAGGGTTGCGGTGCTCATCTCCGTTTCAAAGCCGAAGAGCCAGCGCTGTCCGAAGACGTTTCCGTGGTCATGTGGCCGGCATGACTAAACACCAAGGCGCACGGAACGCTGTTACCTTCCCACCAAAGTGGTACCTATTTATCTACTTGCAATTTCTTGCTTTCGAACTGCTAGGTTGGCAGGAGCTGGAACTAGAGACAGGAGCTCACCCTGTCTTGCGGCACCCGAGTCTTGAACCGCTGAACTACTGACCTTCCACAGCCTGCAGTTCAGCGTCTTAACCGCTTGAGCCACCGCAGCTCCCCATGGGTCAATATTACCGATCAGTAAAAAGCAACTATATAACCAAATCCAAAATCAGATAATACTAAAGTCAGATGCTGCAGTCAGTCTGAAGCATGCCAGAATAATAATAATAAAAGCTGGTGGTCTTGGTTGTGTTCATGTCCTCTAAAATGATTGTTGCCAGCGAACTTACAAAAGGTAAGCTTTGCATTGTGAGGGTGGCACACCATAAGAACATAAGAGACGCCAATGTTGGATCAGGCCAAAGGCCCATCTAGTCCAACACTCTGTCACACAGTGGCCAAAAATACCAGGTGCCATCAGGAGGTCCAGCAGTGGGGCCAGGACATTAGAAGCCCTCCCACTGTTGACCCCCCCAAGCACCAAGAATACAGAGCATCACTTACCCCAGAGTCCCTATCTATACCTTGTGGCTAATAGCCACTGATGGACCTCTGCTCCATTTGTTGTTGTTCAGTCGCACAGTCGAGTCCGACTCTTCGCGACCCCATGGACGAGCTCTCTCCAGGCCTTCCTGTCTTCTGCCGTCCTCTGAAGTTGGCTCAACTTCATGTTCGTTGCATCGATGACACTGTCTAACCATCTCATCCTTTGCCGTCCCCGTCTTCTTTGACCTTCAATCTTTCCCAGCATCAGGGTCTTCTCCAGTGAGTGCTCCCTTCTCATTTGGTGGCCAAAGTATTTGAGCTTCAGTTTCATTATCTGGCCTTCCAGGGAACAGTCAGGGTTGATTTCTTTGAGGATTGACTGATTTGTTCTTCTTGCAGTCCAAGGGACTCTCAAGAGTCTCCTCCAGCACCATAGTTCAAAAGAATCTATTCTTCGGCGCTCGGCCTTCCTTATAGTCCAACTCTCACAGCCATACATGACTACTGGGAATACCATTGCTTTGACCATGCGGACTTTTGTTGGCAGGGTGATGTCTCTACTTTTTATCATGCTGTTTAGGTTCGCCATCGCTTTCCTCCCAAGGAGCAGGCGTCTTTTAATTTCATGGCTGCAGTCACAGTCTGCGGTGATCTGGGATCCCAGGAACGTGAAGTCTGTCACTACTTCCACGACTTCCCCTTCTATTTGCCAAGGAGTGATGGGGCCGGATGCCATGATCTTAGTTTTTTTGATGTTGAGCTTCAAGCCCACTTTTGCGCTCTCCTCTTTTACTCTGAGCAAGAGGCTCTTTAGATCCTTTTCACTTTCAGCCATTAGAGTGGTATCATCTGCATATCTGAGGTTGTTGATCTTTTCCCCAGCAATCTTAATTCCCGCTTGTGATTCATCCAGGCCAGCATTTCGCATGATGTACTCTGCATATATATTAAATAAGCAAGGTGACAGTATACATCCTTGTCGTACTCCTTTTCCTATGCTGAACCAATCAGTTGTTCCGTATCCGGTTCTAACTGTCGCTTCTTGGCCCTTATACAGGTTTCTCAAGAGACATGTGAGGTGGTCTGGTACTCCCATCTCTTTAAGGACCTGCCATAGTTTGTTGTGATCCACACAGTCAAAAGCTTTAGCATAGTCAATGAAGCAGAAGTAGATATTTTTCTGGTACTCTCTTGCTTTCTCCATAATCCAGCGAATGTTGGCAATTTGATCTCTAGTTCCTCTACCTCTTCGAAACCCAGCTTGTACTTCTGGTAGTTCTCTATCCACGTACTGTTGAAGCCTAGCTTGTAGGATCTTGAGCATGACCTTGCTAGCGTGTGATATGAGTGCAATTGTGCGATAGTTTGAACATTCCTTGGCATTGCCCTTCTTTGGGATTGGAATGTATACTGATCTTTTCCAATCCTGTGGCCACTGTTGCGTTTTCCAAATTTGCTGGCAAATGGAGTGCAGAACTTTAACAGCATCATCTTCTAAGACTTTGAATAGCTCAGCTGGAATACCATCACCTCCACTAGCTTTGTTGTTAGTAATGCTTTCTAAGGCCCATTTAACTTCACATTCCAGGATGTCTGGCTCAAGGTCAGTGATTATACCGTCGTGTTTGTCAAGGACATTGAGGTCTTTCTTGTATAGTTCTTCTGTGTATTCTTGCCATCTTTTCCTAATCTCTTCTGCTTCTGTTAGGTCCCTACCGTTTTTGTCCTTTATCATGGCCAGCTTTGCATGGAACGCTCCCTTGATTTCTCCAATTTTCTTGAAGAGATCTCTAGTCCTTCCCATTCTATTGTTTTCTTCTATTACTTTGCACTGTTCATTCAGGAAGGCCTCCTTATCTCTCCTTGCTGTTCTCTGGAAATCTGCGTTCAGTTGGGTAAATCTTTCCTTTTCGCCTTTGCCTTTCGCTTTCCTTCTTTCCTCTGCTATTTGTAAAGCCTCATCAGAAAGCCATTTTGCTTTCTTGCATTTCTTTTTCTTTGGTATGGTGGTGATTGCTGCCTCCTGTACGATGTCACGAACCTCTGTCCATAGTTCTTCAGGCACTCTATCTATCAAATCCAGACCCTTGAATCTATTCTTCACCTCTACTGTATATTCATCAGGGATGCGATCTAGGTCAAACCTGAATGGCCTCGTGGTTTTCCCAATTTTCTTCAGTTTAAGTCTGAATTTTGCAATGAGTAGCTCATGATCTGAACCACAGTCAGCTCCAGGTCTTGTTTTTACTGACTGGATAGAGCTTCTCCATCTTTGACTGCAAATTATATAGTCAATCTGATTTCGGTGTTGCCCATCTGGTGATGTCCATGTGTAGAGTCGCCTCTTAGGTTGTTGGAAAAGGGTGTTCGCTATGACCAGTGTGTTCTCTTGACAAAACTCTGTTAACCTTTGCCCTGCTTCATTTTGCTTTCCAAGGCCAAACTTGTCTGTTATTCCAGTTACCTTTTGACTTCCTACTTTAGCATTCCAGTCCCCTATGATGATGAGGACATCATTTTTTGGTGTTAGTTCTAGGAGGTGTTGTAGGTCTTCATAGAACCGGTCCACTTCAGCCTCTTCTGCATCAGTGGTTGGGGCATAGACTTGGATTACTGTGATGTTGAATGGTTTGCCTTGGAATCGGACAGAAATCATTCTGTCATTTTTGAGATTGTATCCCAGTACTGCCTTTTGCACTCTCTTGTTGACTATAAAGGCCACACCATTTTTTCTACGAGATTCCTGGCCACAGTAGTAGATATAATGGTCTTCTGAGTTAAATTCGCCCATTCCTGTCCACTTTAGTTCACTGATTCCTAGGATATCGATGTTCAGTCTTGCCATCTCATTTTTGACCACGTCAAGCTTACCTTGATTCATAGATCTTACATTCCAGGTTCCTATGCAGTATTGTTCTTTGCAGCATCGGACTTTCCTTTCACCATCAGACACATCCACAACTGAGCGTCCTTTCGGCTTTGGCCCAGCCGCTTCACTCTTTCTGGGGTTACTTGTACTTGTCCTCTGCTCTTCCTCAGTAGCATATTGGACACCTTCCGACCTGAGGGGCTCATCTTCCGGCGTCATATCTTTTAGCCTTTTGATACTGTCCATGGGGTTTTCTTGGCAAACATACTGGAGTGGGTTGCCATTTCCTTCTCCAGGTGGATCACGCTTGGTCTGAGTTCTCTGCTGTGGCCTGTCCGTCTTGGGTGGCCCTTCACGGCATAGCCCACAGCTTCATTGAACTTGTAGCCGCCACCACTTCCTGTGGCAGTGAATTCCAAGTGTTAATCACTCTTTGGGTGAAGAAGTACTTCCTTTTATCCGTTCTAACCCAACCGCCAGGGTTCATAGGCTTGGAGGGGGGCATTTGGCTGTGCAACCAGATCTAAATTTTAAGAATTGAAGGGGGGGAGCTATATTTCTGTTTCTGATTTTAAAGGTTTTTTTAATTGCTCAAAATCAAGCTTGGGTGAGATTGCTAATAATAATAATAATGATTGTGGTGATGGTGGTTAAAGAGTTAAAGAGGTATGTTAAAGAGGTATGGCAAAACCTCGTGTCAGAGTGATCCCACAAGTCCTCATGCCGCCAGCTTCACCTTGGTGGTGGATCCTGGTAGAGGACTTCATTGGTAGAGGACTTCATTGGTAGAGGACTTCATTGGCCGCCGCCGCCTCCCTTTCTGTTGGCCGCCTCCCTTTCTGTTGCTACTGCTACTTTCTGTTGCTACTGCTACTGCTCAGCTTTTCTTTTCTGAGCAGATGTACTGATTGAGAGGTTAGCACAGAAGCATCTATACACAGTAATGTTCAGCCATTTAGATTAACTGTATCGTACCTTGTTGTGATGTCAAGATATGTGAAGGTGACAGGCCGGGCAAAACAAAAGTGCAGGGGAGTGTAGCCTCATGGCCCCAGGGTAATGTGCTACCACCAGTTTCTCTGACTTACCATTCAGCCAAGAAACTGGAGAACCAAGTCTCTGACCCTATTGGGTGTTCATCAAGAAGTCAGTCTTGCAAGGTGGGACATTTGCAAGTTGAGTCCTAAAAACAATTCCTTCGGTAGCTGTAGCCAATGTAAGCCAAAGTACTAGATTTAGATTAAAGCCCCAAATAACACCACAGGATATAATGAATAAGGTTTATTAAAAATAATATGCATAAAAGGTTACAGATATAAGAGCAGTGCCAAGCAAGGAGAAACATAAAATCTAAATAGCTAAACTGAAATGCTTATACATGCTTTGGTTCTCTAATCCAGATGTCCCCTGACCAGACTGAGACAAAGAGTCCAGATAAAGAGTCCAAACGGCAGGTGTTCCGCCACACAAGGCCTAACCCAGTCAAAAGGATGATGCAAAAGATATAGGTGTGCAGAAGGGTACAGACTGGAACGAAGGGTGCCAAACTTTCTGCAATTGGCCTGAGTCTAGTTGACCAAACAAATGTGTTGCTAGCCAGGTGACCTGACCAATCAGGTGTGTTGCTGGACATGTGGCATTGTTTTGTGCAGCTGCATGTACTCACAATTCAGCAAGCCACTTACCTTCCCCCAGGGTTCCATGCGCTAATGAGATGGAATGTGGAGGTGAGACTCCCTACTGGTTCTCTGCCCTAGAAGCTCTTAGACCCCCCCAAGATCTTACTTGGTCCTGTGTCTAACTGCCATCTCCTTAGCTCTCTTTAACTGCAAAATCATTATGTTCCCAGAGACACAGGCCTTCTGTGATTTTATTAGGTCCAAAGCCTGAACCAAAGTTTTGAACAACCAAGAAACTGCTAGGCAAAGCCAGTCTCTTCATATACCTTGCCCTGGAGGGCCGACAAACTAGTAGACCAAGACCCTCCGTAATCTTTCTTCCTAGAACTGGTATTCAGAGGTTTACTGCCTCTGGATGTGGAGATTGATTTCTTTTTGTAATCTTGACTAATAGCCACTGATAATGGAGGATAGCCCTATCACTAGCAGAAAATGCTGCAGTGTAATTACTCATTGAGTAAAGAAGTACTTTCTTTTGTCCATCCCGAACCAGTTAGCTGTACATTCTATTTAAAACGGTTGAAGCGTGTAACTGTGATGAACCCATTTTGTCATATACAGAATGCTATGCCAGGTTTGTTGTTGAGCTGAAATGAGCTTTAGAATGCAATACAGTCTAACCTGGGAAATGTGAAAGTTTATAACCATTGGAATTGTAAAAAAATAATTAAAAAAATCTAAAAAAGGTTCTTCTGGAACACTTGCAGTATAAACAAAAAAGCCCAGGTGCAAAACAGAACCTTGGCTAGGGGGGTGGATGGGTTGAGGACCTCAGGTTTTTCCCTTGGAAAAATTGGAGAAAAGATGTGGAAAAATCTATGTACTCCTTTGAAGTAAGTGAAATGCATTTTAAAACAACTCACACTAAAATGTGAAGTATGAAAACATACCTAGAAAACAGTGTGTGTGTGTGTCCCCCCCCCCCCGCAATGCTTCAACAGTTCTGGAAATTTTCCACGTCTAGTCATAGGATCAAGAACACCTGGTGGATTTGTATTGTATTTGAAGTATTATGTGTCTTTTTAATTTCAATGCAAAGGTTGGGGAGGCATCTTTAAAAGCCTCCTCTTCCTTTTCCCAGGCGGTCGGCCAAGGCATGCTGGCGGGGGAAGCAAAGAGAGAAGGGTTTTAAACCCCTTCTCTCTAGGGTCGTGCCGCTGCATTGGGGCCATAGGATATCGGGGGGGGGGGCTCTCCAAGCCTTCCCTTGCTCACCCGTTTTGGCAGGCGGGCCGGGGAAGGCATGGGGAGGCATTTAAATGTCTCCCCGTTCCTTCAAGGGGTCTTTCCCGTCTTGCTGGCCTAGGTGGGCGGGCCAGTGAAGGCAAGGGGGCCTGGTGGGAGAGCTGCTGGGGGCGGGGCCTGGGCTTGTTACTGCTGGAACGGCGTTCCTGCTCGTTTTGGCTGGAAATGAGCCATGGGGATAGAAGGGATCTGCACCACCTTGATTTTCTTTTCAGGTCAATTTGAAGAGGGTTTGGGGGCATACGTTGAAAGTTGTCTTATAGCTGTATTTGGATCAGACTCCATTCCAGCTAAATTGGCTTGAAAATGTTACGACTTTCTTCATCTTCTTCAGCAGTGTATGACTTGGTTCTGTTCAGCACTGGACTCACAATGCAGGTTTTGTTCTTTCTCAGCAAGAAGGAGCAGTGGTCGGGCCCCTTCGGTGACAAGCAGCAGTGACGAATCGAATATGATCTGCTTGTACCACATTAGGAAAAGTTGTAGCTTCCAAGGTAAGTTGGGCTGCTTGAAAGCCCAGGTGTTTCCTGCTCTCCCCACCCCCTTAACTTTTCTTCTGCCCTTCTCTCTGGCTCTCACCTTTGTTTTGTGCACTTTAAAGATGTTCCCTCCGAGAAGGCGAGAATTAAGTCGTTTGGATTTAATGTAGCTTTGATAAACTTTTGTGGCGTTCAGATATCTGCCGATACGCTTACCTCCTCCATTCACTTGTCATGGTTATTAAAGCATCTCTGTTGGGGAAAGAAAGGCAGTAGGCATTTGGGGTCTGGTGCTTTGCTTTCTCATTTTCCTGTCACAGTGGCCTATAAATGTGTCTCATCTTCTCCTGAGTGTTTCTTTGAGGCCGTGGGAGTTTCATTCAAACTTGTAACCAAGCTTAGGAAAAAAGGAAAACCCATTAAAATGGATGTTACCTGAATCTTCTTATCCACAAAGTAAATCGGAGAAATCAACAAGTTACATGGGAGTAATTCCTCTTTCCTCTCCCCTGTTTTCATTGTATTTATTTATTTTATTTATTTTTTCATTTTATTTATTTCATTTGATTTATAACCCACCCTCTCCTGTAAACTTTAGCTTTGGTTTTAGTGATGCGTTTTTGTTTGGTTTTAATGTTTTGAAAGACATTTTTAATATGTTTCTTTTAATCTGTTCGCTGCCTTGGCAACCCTGGTGACAACGGAAAAGCAGAGTATAAGTTTTGAAAATAAATAAATTGTACTTCACCTGCCCTGAAGTGGGGAGGGTCTGATACTGCAGTGTTTAGTGACGATGGCAGATGGTTTCAGATGGAAGCCGTCTACAAAAACTGGAGGGCTCTGTCAGCTGCTTTTATACACCCACATCTACCAATGGGGGGAAATTGTTATTGGCCCCTCGATACTGGAATCTCTTCTGGCTTTGGTTGTCTTTGGGCTAGATCTTGATTGGCGCAGCTGTAGTTCTGGGAACTTATTGGCGTGCACTGAAAATTTTGGTGTGTGAAGTAGCCAGCCTGTAGGAAAAGGGGTGCCTTGGGCATGCATGGAAAGTGTACCAGGAGAGTAGGTGTTAAGAAGAGTGACATAGACATGCTGATGATGACATCAGATCACCCAAATGATCCTTCTTGAATTGATTAGTGTTTCTGCGGGTTGTGTTTTGTAAAGTAAACCTTTTGCATTAAATTAAATTTAGTTCATTTATGCCCCACCTTTCGCTCCACTGGGGGAGAGCTTACATCATTTTCCTCTTCTCCATTTTATCCTCGCAACAACTTTGTGAGGTAGGCTGGGCAGAGAGTGTGTGAGTGGCCCAAGGTCACTCAGCAAGCTTCTATGGCACGAATGGGGATTCAGACCTGCAGATATCAATAGCTTTTGATTATTTATCTTACAAAACCAGAGTCATGCTTTAGGGCCCCAAAGGTATGATGGACAGCTGAAGGTTCAAATGGGCTTTGATCAATGTATTTCTGCAGTGTTGTTATACACACAAGCATTTTGCACTCTGCCACTGACTAACAGAATGAGCTTTGCAGGTACACTTAACCTTTCTGTGATACATATGTTAAGTGCTATTTATGATTTTAACTACATGGACAGAAATCAATCATGAATGTATTCAGATATTAGACTTTGGTTCACTTATGGCTATTGCTGGAAATGCATTCTGGGAAGCTTAAACAAAATGCTGTTTTGCTATTTTGCTGTTCTGCTGAGGGTTGTGACCTTGCTTGTTCTGGCCAGCTATAACTGCGCATGTTCCTGATGTCAGCTTAAGTTAGATGAAGAACATACAGCACTATGTACCCATATCTGCTACATTAGATACTTCTCAAACTTCATAGCCTGGGAAGGAGAAGGCCCATGGTTTAACTAAAGGAGGTACATTTTCGCTTGAGAAAATGCATCCCACAGGTCCAGGCCCAATCAGGAAGGTATGACGCAGTTTGACAAAGTTTGCTGTAACCATTAATTCTGTTTCGTTTCTCTGATGTAATGTGAAATATAAAACAGTATGTCTCCCATTGTAACCTTGGAGACGCTGGGTGGTATCTGAGAGGACCAACCCCTGTTTGTTTGGTTTCTCCCTGTTAATCGATTAACAATAAAGACCTTGGTTACAGTTTCTTCCTTCACAGGACTGAGAGAGTGTGTTTCTCAAATTGGAACCAGGGAAACACAGAGGATTTGTACTACAGTCGAGCATGATATTAGTGAGGGGCACTTGGGCCAGGTAACATATCTTCATTGCTTGAACATTTGGCTATATACCTGCTGAGCACGTGTGATGTGTGGCTTCATTAGCATTTCTTGTTTAAAGCCCTTTTTAAAAACTGTGGAGTCTTCTGAGCAAAAATTCTATTTTGTGAGCTACTGGCATTAAAGTTGTGAGCGAGCAATTTGGCCACTATATAAATTAGTTTGCTCTGGAGCCATTCTTCCTTAGCTAAGACAAAAATGTGTGAGCCGTAGGCTAAAAAACTGAACTAGCTCACACTAACTCATCTTAGAGGGAACACTGGTCATTGGATTAACACTTTAAACTTTTTTTTAAATCTAGATAAATGTATCCGCGTTCACTTCCATTTGCCATACAGATGGGAACACTTCAGTGGTACCCAATGGACAGAGCTGCCTCATATGGAGGACATTGAAAAGCAGTACTGTGATCCCTTTAATGAAAGGTACAGATTTACTGGTAATATGATAGTCTGATTTTAGAAGTACTAATCAAAGTCCCTCTCCTATATATAAAAAAAAAACACAATGTCAGACCTTCTGCATGCAGGGGTGGAAAATGGTCAGTAAAATCAGTAAAAGTCAGTTATTTCATCTTGGTCAGTAATTTGTCAGTTTTTTAAAAAAATGATCAGTAAAGTCAGTATTTTTTTGATTTTTCTGAATGCAGTTTGTGTTTTTCTGTTTTCATTACTGCATTTTTGGGGAAACATGATGACTTCCCAGTGAGAAGACAGATTGTTTTCAGTTTAGTTATGAAGTACTTTAAGGACTTTGTTCCTAAGAGTAAAAGTGATTTGGTGAAATGTTTCACAAAGTATAGAAACATAATTAACCTGTTAAAACATGAGACAATGAAAGGAGAGGTGATGGATATTGTGGGATTCAACATGGCACAGCTCATGCTAGAAGGAGTTGAAAAAGCAATGGAAGAAGAGGACAAGGGGGAAAAATGCTTGTGGATGCAGTGTAGAAAACTGTTGAGAAACGAAAGAGTTCGTGAATAATTTTATTTATTTATTCAATTTATTCCCCGCCGGAACAGGCTCAGGGCGGCTTACAAAGAGATTAAACGTATAGGTGACAAATTATATACAATCTTAAAACAAATAATAAAACTCTACATTATCATAAAGTGCTAGTAAGTGATCAGGTACTTATAACAATGCTTACAGAAGACGGAACCAATACTAGTGTTGTAATCAGATGATCTGTATCGGTGGTTGGCTCGTCTTGGTCTCTGTATTTAGGCGACAGCACCGGCTGTTGGTGATAAGCCAAGGAATGGGGCACTGTCACGTCTCACTTATTTGATGTTATTTGGTGTGGCTCTGTGACGTCCTCCTTATTGGGGAGGACTAAGTTCACTTTAAAAGTTCACTTTATTTCGCTTAACTGGGTAGAATCTGCTGCCACCAGGAAATTTTAAGGATTTCCAAACCTTTATGCTTTTACTTTTGCTCTTACTAGTTTGGTAGACCGAGTTCAAGGCTTACGAGGAACTATGTGGTCCTGGGAAGTATTTCATTCAGAGCTGGTATAAACTTGAATAAAAGAGGATTTATTGAAATAAATACTAAATAAGAGGGTGATACAATGTAACTAGTAATGTGTAAATGATGTACAATTGCTTTGGTATCACACTCAATCTTTTCCCTCACTGACAGGGATCTTTTCATGTAGTCAACCACCAATCATACCACACTTGCATCTCTCAACCACACTAGTCTACCTACCACAGCCATGCAACCAAACTTTTAAAGAGACACACACTCACAAAAACAAGGAATCATTACAGGCTCCTTAGTCGAAGGTCTGGTGGAAGAGCTCCATCTTGCAGGCCCTGTGGAACTGTAAAAGGTCCCGAGGGCCTTGATCTTTTCTGGGAGCTCATTCCACCAGTACAGAGCCACCACTGAGAAGGCCCTGGCCCTGGTTGTGGCCAGCCTGGCATCTTTAGGACCTGGGAGTCCAATCGATTTTGTGACCCTGAGCACAGTGCTCTCTGGGGAACGTGGGGAAAGGCATTATCTCAGGTATGTGGGCCCCTGACCATAAAGGGCTTTAAAGGTAAGTACCAGCACCTTGAAGCGAATTCAGTATGCTATCGGCAGCTAGTGCAGTGCTTTCAGCACAGGCTGGACGTGCTCCTGCACAGAGAGGCCCATGAGAAGCCTGGCTGCAGCATTTTGCACTAGCCATAGCTTCTGGATTTGGGTCAAGGGCAGCCCCATGTAGAGAGCATTATAGTAGTCCAATCTCGAGGTGACCATCGCATGGATCACTGTCGCCAAGTTGTTGCATTCAAGGAAGGGAACCAACTCCCTAATCAGCCGGAGGTGGTAAAAGGCTGATTTGGCATGGCTGCTACCTGGGCCTTCGTTGTTAGTGAGGAATCAGGAGCACTCCCAAGCTCCTAACCTCTGGTGCTGGCACCAATGGCGCCCCTTCAATGGTCAGAAGTAGGATCCCTACTTTTGGGCCACCCCAGCTCAGGCACAGGACCTCTGTCTTCGTCAGATTCAATTTCAGTTGGCTCAGTCTGAGCCAACCAGCCATGGCTTGCAACACCTGGTCCAGATCTTCTGGTGTATAGTCAGACTGGCCGCCTAACAACAGATAGAACTGGGTGTCATCCGCAGACTGGTGACATCCCAGCCCATGCCTCCAGGCAATCTGGGCAAGGGGGCGCATGTAGATGTTAAATAACATTGGGGACAGCACCGCCCCTTGGAGCACTCCACAAATCAGTGGGTACCTTTGGGATAGCTGCTCCCCTAGCACCACCCTTTGTCCCCAACCCTGAAGGAAGGACTCCAGTATCGGCGAGGTGGTGGATCAGTAACTGATGGTCGACCATGTCAAATGCCGCCAACAGGTCCAACAGCAACATCACTGCCAATGCGCCCCGATCCAGATGCCTCCGGAGGTCATCTGTGAGGGTGACCAGGGCCGTCTCCATTCTGTGGCCTTGGCAGAAACCAGACTGGAAAGGATCTAGAATGGAAGTGTCATCCCAAAAGCTCTGTAGCTGAATTGCCATGGCCCTGTCAATTACTTTGCCCAAATAGGGCAGATTGGAGACTGGCCGGTAATTATCCAATTTGGCTAGATTCAGAGATGGCTTTTTCAGGAGGGGACGAACCACAGCTTCCTTGAGTGCCCTAGGGAACTGTCCCTCCGAGAGGGATTTGTTGATAATCTCCCTTAGGGCATTTTGAAACCCATCACGGCCAGTTTTAATTAGCCATGATGGTCACGGGTCAAGGCAGCACGTGGTAGGGCGTACAGTTAAGAGCAGTTTGTCAACTTCCTCCAGGCTGAGTGGACTGAAATAATCCATAACCTGAGCAGAAGATGTGCATGGAGCCTCAAGTTCAGTTACTGTCTTAACTGTGGTGGGGAGGTCACAGCGGAGCGACAGGACTCTATCTGCAAAGTAGCTTGCAAAGGCCTCACAGCCAGTGTCCACTTCCCTAACATTTGGTCTGCCTTGTGGCAGAACAGTCATAGACCGAATTATTCTAAATAATTGGGCTGGGCATGAGCTTGCAGACATAATCGTGGCCGCATAATACTCTGACTGCCATCTCATAGAATCTCATAAATGTCCTATAAGATGTTCTTGTGGCTTCATCGCAAGTGCATTGCTACTGTCTCATTAGCCATCTTAGCCTTCGCTTCATCAGCCGCAACTCCTGGGTAAACCAAGGTTTCTGAGTTTCACTGACTCTTGAAGTCTAGAAGGCAGGAACACACAATCAAGTTCCCAAAATCCTTCTTTGTACACAGGCCAGGGATCACTCCTCTTTTAAGAAGGAAAGGGAAAAAAGAAATGGAATGAAATGGAAAGGGAGAGAAAGAAAGGGAAAGTAATAGAAAGGGCTTTTTGCAAGAGCCACTTTGCTCTTCCAAAGAGGCGAGTTCACCGGGATGGCATCTTTTCCCTCTTTTATTAGAAACAGTGGAGAATGGGAGCATCTGGTTCAGTCTTTTTGAAACTTGGGTGGTTTGAGGAGAGGCACCAAACTTGCAGCATAGCAAAAACCAGCCCCCCCCCCGAGCCCCAGATACCCCTGAATTGATTCTCCATTAAAGACTATAATGGAGACATTCCCTTTAAATGTTTTTTGCAAGCCGCACGTCCGCCTTCCCCCACAACATCCTTTTTCTTGGAATGCAGCTCCTCTCTGTTGGCCTACCACTGCTTTGGGGGGGGAATACAGATGTGCAGCCTGGGTCCCCCAGACCTCCTTCCCTGCCAGAGAGGATCCGGGGGTGACTCACCTGATGTGGGGTGAATCAGGCAGGACAGCAGATTTTCTTGGATGGCATCAGCAGCTCCCAGGTCCCTCCCAGCTTCGCACCACCTGGCCAGCACAGGCAGGAAGGCTCTTCAAATTCCTGGTGGAGTTGCGCTGAGGAAGGAAGGAGGGCTGGGAGGAAGCAGGTGCCATCGGATGAGCAGGAGGGCGGGGCCGCCCTGGGAGAGTCACCCCCCCTGCACTGAGCTAAAAAGCTCTGTGCTGGGTGGTAAAAAAATATTGTGCCCCTGCATATTGTCGGACATTAGAGGGAACCCTGAGGGCATCCAATGAAGCTGATGGACAGTTGGTTCAGGACAGACAAAAGGAAATAGTGCTTTGCACAGAGAGTTATTAAAATGTGGAATTAACTGCTAGAGGCTGTAGTGATGGCCACCAGAATAAACTGCTTTAAAAGGGGATTAGATAGATTCATGGAAGATAAGTCTATTAATGGCTACTAGCAATGGTGACAGAGGGGAACCTCCACATTCAGAGTCACTAGACCTTTGAATCCCAAAGCCAGGAGGCAACATCAGGGGAAGGCCTCAGCCTCTATGCCCTGTTGTTGGCTGTCCAGAGGAACTGATGGTTGGCCACTGTGTGAGACAGGATGCTATACTAGATGAACTATTCATCTAATCCAGCAGGGCTCGTCTAATGTTCTAAGCCCCCCCCCACACATTTTTACCTAAATGTACAGGTTTACCTGCCGTGGTTCAAAACTGATCATTGACTTCAGCAGTATGACTTACAACTCCATCCAAGTTAGACGCCTCTCCACAGCATCTTCTGTGACCAAGCCCCCTCACTATATCCTAACTACAGAATGGCTCTGGTATTGGAAAGATGACTATGGACTATGGAATGAATATGGGACGCAGGTGAGTAATACCATCTAGCTGTAGACTGAAGTAAACATGATGCATTCTGTATGCTGTGAAGATCTACTGGTATGTCAGGCTGTTCCAGAACTTAGCCCTGCTCTAAAGGTGGCTCCACCTTAGGAGATAAGGTATACAGCTAACAGGGCAAGACCTTTTCCATGGCTGTGCCTGATTTATAGAGTACTGTTCCCAGGTCTGTTTGTTATGAACTTTATGGTTTTTAGGCATTAGTTAAAAATATGGTTATCAGTTAAGCCTTTAATGGTGTGTAAATTATGCTCTCTGAGGTATTCTGGTATAGTCTCTCAGTGGCTGTGTTTTGTCATGGTTTTGTTTAGATATTTTGGTTCTGTTGTATTTGGATTGGGGGTGTAAACCACTCTTGGGTTGGAAACTAGTTTGGTATCTGAGACTGAAAATTCAGTTGTGGTTCTCTTTCTGCCTGTTAACATGGGGCACAAAGAGCCATGGAGTTTTCTGCATAATCCTCAGTGGATAAGAACTGGATGTATGGGAGAGTATATCCTTGGGTTAAGTCTATCTCTACTACTTTCAATGGCCCTGAAAAGTTTCCTGACTTTGGTACAGGGTTTGGTCATCTCCATAAATTCGTCTTGACCTTTGTAGCAGATGTTCCCACAATGACAAGCCCAGTCTTGAGCCCGGGTAGATCCCATGGGAGTTTTCTTATGCAAATTTTGGAACTTGCTGCTTTTGCAAGATGATTTTGGAAAAAATCTTTTGTTTGGTTCTGTGCTGACAGGATATTGACCATGGTGCTTCTTCGGTATGCAGCCTCGATCTTGAGAAAGCCTATCAGTCTGAGGCCTCCCCAACACTCAACTTCACAGCTAGGAATCAGAATTATGTGCTTGATTTCAAAGGTATGTTTGTTCTTAATGGTCTTGAATCCGTGGAAGTGTGCTAAAACAGTGCATGCTTTAAAACATTTTATATAATGCTGCCTTTGGGGGGGGGGGGTCTCAAGGCCTCTGTTGTCTCTTGTGACTGGGAAAGGTTTTTTCCAAGGTCTCAGGCAAGGGTTTTTCTTAGGCCCTTTCTCTGCTGCTAAAGAAGAAAAGGTATTTGTACCCCATTTTTCTGTACCTCAAGGAGCCTCAAAGTGGCTTACAATTGCCTTCCCTTCACTTCCCCACAACAGTCACCTTGTAAGATAGGTGGGGCTGAGAGAGTTCTGAGAGAACTGTGACTGGCCCACAGTCACCCAGCAGGCTTCATGTGGAGGAGTGGAGAATCAGACCTGGTTCTTCAGATCAGAGTCCACTGTTCTTAACTACTACACCATGCTGCCTCTCAGGCTGGCTGCTTGAGTTCTTTTTCACAGGAGATTGAGTCTGGGGCCTTCCGTATGCAATAAATGGGCTTTATAACTGAACCAAGTTTACACAATGAGAGGCACTTTCTTAGGACTACTTAGGAGCGTCTATCTTTTCTAGTTAGTTAGGTGGTATGAATGCTTTCCAGGGCACCAGATACCACCCCACTGGATTTTTCCTCATCATACAGCTTCCTGCCTGCCCCACTGCACTGGGGATCTCAGTGGAGCATCGAAATGGTTTGAGGAGATAACATTTTAGCATTCATACCCAGACTTCCTGCTATCAGATTTTAACCCTTTTCCAGAATGGCGCTCCTGTGGCTAGGCGGGATACAAATCGGATTCATAAATAAAAAATAAAAAAATTGGCTGGTTTGGAATGCTGCACTCATTGGCTTTTGTGTTGCTGTAGTGTTATTTCTGTGTTCCACCTGTCACAGATGACTTACTTGGTAATTTAGTCCATGTAGAATAGACCTCAGTTGAAAGGTCTATTGTTGTAGGTCAAGTTGTTCTTGTTGGTCAGAGTCAGAGGATATTTGGTTCACATTAGGCCCTCTGTCTCTGTTCACCTTGTCCATCGAAGTTGGGTTCAGCTCTGCTTTCAGTCTGGTTCTAAATCCATCATCATGGGTGATATCAACAAGGGGTGTACTTTCAGAGATACGTGGGACTCACGCAGGTATCTGAGGAAGGCGAAGCAGCCTCTCTAGAAGCAATGTTGTCCTTGGCATTTAAATGGCATTGCAGCATACATTAGAACCAGAGTTATTAGTTCCTCTTAACAGTGACTATAAACCTGGCACTTGCGATGGCTTGGTTTGCAGAAGAGATTTTCAGTTACAACCATTTGCAGTATATGCAAGGGCTGTTCTATTTTTCTTTTTTAAAGCCATGAAACAGAAGAACGTGTGTTACAAGACAGAACGAGAAGTTCGTAGGCGACCTAAGTTTGTGTCTCTAAAAGAAATAGAGAAGAAGAAAACCAGGTTGGTGATGGGGATGTGTGTGTTTGTTTGTTTATTTGTTTGTTTGTTTATTTAGAATATTTTAATGCTGCCTCTTTGGAGTACTGATTGTGGTAAAACTGCAGTTTAAAAAACAAGATGTTAGACACAAGCAGGATTAAAAACTATCCATCAAACAGAAGCAAATCATTAAAAAGCTGGTAAGATAAAAGTTTGGGGAAAAACAAAAGTAAAGTAGGTGCCAGGTAAGCCTGAAGGTGGAGGGCATTCCAAAGGTGAGGTGTCATCACAAAAATAGCCCTGTCTGTGTTTGCCACCCACCCAGTGACGGCCCCAGGTTTTTTCATCCACTAGGTGAGGATACCTTCCCCCCCCCCCCCCCCGCAGGACGGGGGCATGTGTTGGAGCCACAGTGGGCGGGCCGAGCTGCAAATGCATGCGGGGGGTTGGGATCGCTGGAGGGGAGGGAGCCAGGGCCTGTGCCAGGCTGCAAAAGGAGCTCCAAGGAGACCGCGGGGGCGGCAGAGGGTGAGCAGTACTTTCCCATTGTCCTGGGCTGTTCCCCACGCCTATCCTCCCCCGTCTCCTCCTCTTTCTGTCTGGGGGGCTGTAAAGAGGGGAGTCTCTTGCCGGGGACGGAGCAAGAAGCTGGCACGGGAGGCTTCCTGTGTGGGCCAAGGAGGGGACAAGGCCGGCCAGAATGGCGCCCTCGTCGAGCCGTCACCCTAGGCAAGACTCTAAAATTTAACAATAACGGGCTGCCCTGCACCCACCCCACTTCCAAAGGTTAGGGGCACAGAGAGCAAGGCTTGAGGGGCAGATCTCAACTGTGTACGTAGAGCAGGGGTGTTGAACTCGTTTGTTACAAGGGCTGGATCTGACATAAATGGGACTTTGTTGGGCCAGGCCGTGCGGGTCATAAAATATAATGTCAGGTAGCAGAGATATAAACTTTATAAAAGATACAAACACAATTAAAGATATTTTTTACTTAAAATACAAATATGCTTACAACTCTTGTGATATTTTGTTTAATAGTCTTTTATAACTGACACCTCCCAAACCTCTCCCCCCCCCATGCCTGCCTAAAATGGAAAGGTTGGGGAATAGTGGGGTTTGCCAGTGCAATTTTTAAAATAAAACATCAAGAAAAAGCACAGGGATCACAGCAGAAACCAAAATATAAACTAAAAATATAAAATGCTCTGAGCCTAGGAACATAAAATGGCTGGCCATTGCAAGCTTCTCTCTCCCCCCCTCCCCAGGTCTACTCAGAGTGGCAGTGGCTCGCCAGTGTAATGTCCTCCTTTGGCTGTGGGTTCCGAGGTTGGAGTACTCACTCAGGCACCCGTTCTCAGGTCCATTCAGCAGAGACAAGTTGGCTCAAAACATCAACCCTGTATTTGCAGGGAGACAACTCCAGCAAGCAACAACTTCAGCTGTACAAACACTGGAAAGTGAAACTACTTGAGCTCCACTCCACTGAAATACATTGCAGCAGAAACAAAGTTGGAAAGAAAATGTGGAATGGATTCCCGATTAAGGCACCCAGGAATTAAGGTCTCTTGGCCCAGATAGACTACTCTGGGACTAGAATGACAGCCACCAGAGTGAAATGACAGTCCTGAGGAGTAGCAGCAACATTCTGGGATTGGAATGAGGGCCCCTGGAGTGGAATTCCATTCCCAGAATGCTGCTGCTACTCCCCAGGGCTGTCATTCCACTCTGTGCCCTGTCATTCCAGTCCCAGAACACTGTTTCTTTTGCTGGAAACAGTCCCAGAGTAGTCTATCTGGGTGCAGAGACCTTAATGGAAGAATCCATTTTGTATTTTCTTTTTAACTTTGCAAGCCCAGAAGAGCTTCCTGCCAAAGCAGGCAAAGAGAAGACAGAGGGATCTGGGAACTTCGGCAGCCTCAAGCTTCAAAGGGTGAACTCAGGAGAAGAAAAGAGCTGTGGGCCTGATTAAAGCCGTGGGCCTCAAGTTTGACACCCCTGATGTAGAGTGTATTACAGAGAACGTAAACAGTATATAACTTGGAAGAGGATTAAAGTATTTTTGTAAGTATGCCTTGACTAAGGTTGCCGCAAAGCCCCTAGACATGCTATAATGGTAAAATCTTGATCTCTGTAACAAAGCATGCTGGGATTTAAGTTTCAAGTATAAGGAAGTTCCCCTGGAGTGTGTAGGTTTCTTTCAAAAACCTTATAATTGTCCTGCATATAGTTCTAAAGTGCTTGTTTCTCCTATATCTGCTAAATGCCATTTCAACACCTCAGTGCATCTGGTTCAGTGGTCTAGATGTCACTCTTGCATTGCTGCTAAAATTTAGCCATCATATTTCCCTCCCTGCCCCCCCAGTTTTTCCTCTTAAGATACAAGGAATTGTTTTAAATGGAGTCAGACATAGAGTCCATCTAGGGAGCACTCCTAAACAGGTAAACTCAGAAGTAAGTCCTACTTTACTCAGTGGGGCTTCCTTCCAGGAAAGTTTTCTTAGGATTGCAGCCCTAGCCTAGTATTGACTTGCTCTGCCACCTACATTTTTTGAACTCGAGATGTCAGGGATGGACTTTTTATGCATGTATTTACTTCGTTACGTCATGTATAAATATTTATTTAATTGCAAAGATATAGATGCCAGAGAATACAAAAAGGACAAATATAGAAATCTGTAAAGCCATGGCAGCATCTTACAAAAACACAGAATGAATTTAGTTGTAAAATAAATAGTAATTATAAATGAGCAGCTCAGCAAGTCCCTGAAGCGTGGCAGGATAGGCGAGTCTGAATCTGAACGGGATGAGGGAAGAAGCATGAGCCCGCCTCGGCAGGGCGGGCGGGATATAAATCAAATCAAATCAAGCACTGCAGGGTCAGTTTAGGATGATCAGACCATAGATGTAGCACCATAAGCAAGAAATACCACCCCCTGGGCCTCCATAGAGTTCTTAAAGGATGGAACCCTGATCTGCAACTGTACTGAAGATTCTGTGTAACTGGGGATAAGGAATGAAAACTGTCTTTGTGTATGGGAGAAGGTTTCATGAAGGCCAAGCCCACATCTAGGCGATTCCAGAGGAGGAGACATTTTAGTTTAAAAAGGTAAAGGTTCCCTTGCTCGAAAGCCAGTCGAGTCCGCCTCTAGGGTTGCAGTGCTCATCTCCGTTTCAAAGCCGAAGAGCCAGCACTGTCCGAAGACGTTTCCGTGGTCATGTGGCCGGCATGACTAAACTCCAAGGCGCACGGAACGCTGTTACCTTCCCACCGCAGTGGTACCTATTTATCTACTTGCAATTTCTTGCTTTCGAACTGCTAGGTCGGCAGGAGCTGGAACTAGAGACAGGAGCTAACCCCGTCTTGCGGCACCCGGGTCTTGAACTGCTGAACTACTGACCTTCCACAGCCTGCAGTTCAGCGTCTTAACCACTTGAGCCACCGCAGCGCCATTCATTTTAGTTTACTGTAGCAAAATAAAACAGAAGTTCAAAGGCACCTTAAAGACTAACACCTATAATCCAGCATCATCTTTTGTAAGTCTGAGCTTATTTCTTGAGATTCAAAAGAGAGAGAGGAAATCAGTTTCCTTGTATCTATCCAGAAAATTACAGAAGGGGAGAGAGAAATGGGGACCACATCAAGATAGCCACATCTCTGATGCTCTCAAGATTTTGATGAGGGCCTGGGAGAAGGTACGCTGTGAACTGTAGTCCTTCCATTTCTCAAACACTACTGGCACACCCCACTACACATTTACTCTTGATAAATGTTCTTTAGGCCTATTGTTAGTCCCAGAGAGTCCTGGCGGTTTCTAGGTAAGGTGCAGACCATGAAGGGTATGGTTCTGGAACCCAGCAAGCACTGTGCGGCTGAGTCGTGTTGGGGCGTGTAGCTCTCCCTTGCAAATTAGCTGAGTCCTACAAATGTACTTTACCGATCCTGTATTTAGGTTAGATTTGAAACTTGAATAACACTTTGTTATCTGAGACATATTTGTTTGATGCTCAGCTGTTAATTTTTTTCATAGAACTATAGGTTAGTGGCGATGTTAATTATTCAATCTGTTCTTATATAAAGCGGGGCTGAGCTATCGAAGGCAGGAGAAGGAGCGATAAACATTCCAGCTCATTGGGACCAGTCAGCCTTACCAGAGCTGGGATATAAGGTAAGATGCTCTTCGCAACACACCTTGGAGGGTCATAGAGGCCATCTAGTCCAACCCCCTGCTCAATGCAGGATCAGCCTAGAGCATCCCTGACAAAGTGTTGCTTGCAGACTGCCAGTGAGGTGGAGCCCACCACCTCCCTAGGCAGCTGTTTCCACTGCTGAACTACTCTTACTGTAAAAAACAAACACCCTTTCTAATATCCAGACGGTATTTTTCTGCCCGTAATTTAAACCCATTATTGTGAGTCCTATCCTCTGCTGCCAACAGGAACAGCTCCCTGCATAGGGCCATGCTGTTCCTAAGTATCACAGTCTTAAGTATCACTCATTCTCTTCTGGTAGGCAGGTTTGTGGGCCTGCCTGAATTTTGCAGTAGTATTGTGGAGGTGTTTTATGACTGTTGTTTGGTTACTGCCAAACTGAAAAGCAGAATGCTTTCCTTGTTTATGATTGAAAGATGTGTGATGCAGCCTTGTTTGAAGCCAAGCAAATATAGCTGTATGGGACCCTTGGAAGGAGCCTCTTGTATAGCACCTTGAGTTTCACAATGCAAGACAGATGAGATCTAAATTTAAGAAATAAGTACAGATTGATATTGTCTTCCTGCACTTAAAATTATTCAGATTGCCTAATTTGTTAAGAGTGGTTCAATCTGGATGCATAATTCTAAACTCATTTTTTCCTACATGGAGAAATAATGGCAGGAGATGCATTTTGTTAAATGCTTATTTGTTTAACATTGAAAAATGAACATCTGGTTCCTTCATTTCTACTCTGTTCAGAAGTGTTCATGATGTGGCTTGGATAAAATGCGATTTTAGAGGCCCTTTGCAACCCCTTTTTTTGGGGGGGATTAATGCAGTGAAAACCACCAAAGCTCACAGTTACCTAAAGAGAGCATACCAATATGCAGCAGTGTTAACCACAACTAGTTTGTCTCCTCCAAAAAGATAACTCCCCCCGCTACTAAAACCCAAGATTATGGCAGTCTTCCAACAGAGAGCCAGTTTGGTGTGAGAGCCAGTTTGGTGTAGTGGTTAAGTGCGCAACTCTAATCTGGGAGAACCGGGTTTGATTCCCCACTCCTCCACTTGCACCTGGCTGGATGACCTTGGGCAAGCTGTAGCTCTGATAATAGCTGTTCTTGAAAAAGAGCAGTTTCTGTCAGAGCTCTCTCAGCGCCACCTACCTCACAGGGTGTCTGTTGTGGGGAGGGGAAGGGAAAGGAGTTTGTAAGCCACTCAAGCTGGAAGAATAGACAGCGTGCCGGAGCGGTTTGAACTGCTCCGGTCCGAGGCATGTTTTTTTAAGCTGGAAGAATCGCGATCACACTTACCTCCTTGTTCTGGACACTCACTCCCGGCCGTTCACACAGGTTTCTTCCCTCTCAGTTTGGGCATGCGCGCAGGCGGCCATCCTTAGTATTAACATTTTCGCGCGTGCGCAGAACAGCGATTTCCCCTTCAACCCAACTGCCATGCTTCCCTTTAAACTTTAAATGAACACTTCCCTTCACACTTTTATCCTGAAACTGGCCTCTGTGAGATCCCGAACTCGTATACACAGCAAAACCAGGCACCATTTAAACTTTGGTTTTACTAACGCCGGGACGAAGCTCTGCCCAAGCGCATATCGCCGACGCTTAAAAATAAATTTAAAAAATGTTGGGCGAAAAGTGGAAGCCTCGGCTTTCGAGCAGGGAACAGGAAGTGGCTTTACAACGGCGGAGGAGCGATCACACGGGGGGAAATGCGGCTGGAACCGGAGAAGCAGGAAAACACCACTTGGGGACCTGGTATCAAAATAATCCACTTTATTGGGGGGTTGCGCTGGAAAGCGATGGCTGGGGATGGGAGGCAGATGTTGACCATGTGATCGCGCGTAAATAGTCCGTTTCTAACCGGCATGTATACTGGCTCAAATGGCCCGTCTGAATGCACCCTGAGACTCCTCTGGGTAGTGAAGGGCGGGGTATAAATCCAATCTCCTCTGTTGCTGCCGCCGCCACAAAGGAGCTTGAAAGCAGGGGGGACCACTGGTCTCTCACGTTCTAGAAACAATACAGAACCCCTGTTTACCAGCAGCAGAAGTGAACTTGTGTGTATATAACTGTAGTTCTTTTCAACTCTTTTTTTGGGGGTGTGTGTGTGGGGGATATCACCAGCCTCAGTTGACTTACATCAATGTCTGTCATCCAGAAGCTTATTGGCTACTGATGTGTAACAAATGCATTAGAAGTAAAAGGTAGCTAATGCTTTGTTTTGGGGTAGATCAATACTCCCCTTACATAGGCTTTTGAACAGTGATTCCAGATTGTGGCATTTGAAAGCATTCTTTTAGAGGGTTATGAACTCAGGTAGTGGCATAACAAGGGATTGGGGGGGGGATTATAGGAGATGGTATCAAATGTCCATGTACCAGCCAGATATAAAGTTTAAGAGAATGGGGTGTCCTGTGCCTGACCAAACATTCTGCTAGTTCTGTGCCACCCCTGTTATTCTCTTTATCCTTTAAATACCATGTAATTCTAATTAAATACATGGGTGAGCATGGCAATTCATACCCTTTGTTGAAAATAAGTAACCATAGGTTAGAGCTTGGGTTTTAGTCTTCCAAACGGTCTGTAGCTTTTTCTGGCCAAACATATCCTAGGGTTTGTGAATAGGCTACTGTTTATCTGAAATCTCTGTATAGATTTGGGTTTGTAACCAGTGTTGACCTCTGTGTATTTGAGAGCTTTATAGGTGCCTTTGTTCTTCAGAGCAGTGGCTTAAAAGCCCTCTGAGCACAGTGTAATACCTGTAGTCTGTACCACACTTAATACAGTGCTGCTCCTAAAAAAAAGTGTTTAGTAGAAGTCATTTAGTGAAACTTGACATTGTTTATTTTCCTGCAATTATTAGGTGGTAATTAGATTAAAAATATAAGTCTCATAAGACCGGCATAGCATCTGTAGTGCGGTTTTGGCTTTTTTTTTTTTTTAAAGTGTATTGGGTTAATACAAACTCCATGGAGTGCGAGGGTGATTCCAGGGCATTCATCTTGTTTTGCCACCTTTAAAAAAACATTCTCTGAGGGTCCTTGGATAAGCCAAGGCACAGATTTTGGTTAAGTATGGCCAACTCCATCTTCACACAAAATAGTTCTGTATTGACTCTGGCCCTTTTTGGTTAGCACTCCCAAACAGAGTTTCTAATCTTATTTGAAATGGGTCTTTTGTTAACCAGATTGCTGTATCTCTTCTTTTCCTCTTGTAGTTGATCCCCCTTCAATCATCATCTAATGAATACAGAAAGGTCCAGGTTAACTTTGAGCGCACTATGTCCAAGGCAAAAATTATAAAGATCAACAGAATTCAGAATCTGGCTCTCTGGGAAGTGTATCAGTGGTATGTTTGATATTCAATATTAAGCCATGGATAAAAGAAATAGTATGGAGTCTTGCTGGATTTCTCACTTGAATTTGGATGCGTAACTATTTTTTATTTATTTATATTTTATTTATTTAAACATTTTTACCCCGCCCTCCCCGCAAGCGGGCTCAGGGCGGCTTACAAGGGGCACAAGCCCATACATAAAATCCAATAAAACCATAAAATCATAACCAAAACATTACATTTAACAATAAAGTGCTTCCATTGTCAAGATGGTCTTAAGTTGTTATAGTGGTATCTTCCAGCACCCCCCAATTGGTTGGTGGTAACGATGGCGGCCCCTACATGAAAGCCTGGTGGAAGACTAGTTGCCACGGGAGAGGCACGGATGGTGGGCGGATTATCCGGGCGCGATCACACCCCAACATCTGGGAAGTGGCGCGCACCCGTGGCTTACCGCTGACAATGCGAGTTAAAAAACTAGTATTTCCAAGGTACTAGTAAACGTTTGCCACGGGCTGCCTCCAGACTCCCGTGGTGTGATCGTGCCGGCGCACGGCATTCCCCTCCGGTCCCTCGTTTACCCGCCGGCGCTGAGGGAAGGACCCGTGGTGTGCCGCCGGCACGTCTGATCGCATAATCGCCGATCAAACTGCGCCGGGGCAATTATCCCCCCCGCGATATCCGGCCCGTGTGACCGGGGCCTAGGTGTGAGTTAAAACTGTAAGCACAACACTTTCTCCTTTTGGTTTGGTTTGTGTTGGATTATGGGTATTCTGGGGTTCATTCTGCATAGAATTCTTCAAAGGAAGTTGGTACTAGACTGTTGGCAGTCAACATGTATCCTGGAACATCTGTTGCTGCTTCTCTACCGCAAATCATAAATATGGTGTGTGCACAGGCATGTTTTGTGTGTGCAGTTAATCCAGTGGTCCCCAACCTTTTTGTGACCCTGTGGGCACCTTTAGAATTCTGACATAGGGTGGTGAGCGCAACCACAAAATGGATGCCGGGGGTGGGGGTGGAGCCAGTGACAAAATGGATGCTGTGGAAGGTGGAGCAATTAAAAAATGGCTGCTGCAGGAAGTAGAGCCAAGTACAAAATGCCAGGGAGTAAGGTTATGCGTAACTCTTAACAATTCCTCAACATTTCAGGTGGAAGCTCTGCTTAACAGGATGCCCTTTTAAATGAACATTTTATTTTAAAGTATTTTCTTGCTTACACACAACTTACTTTGACTCCCACAGCGAAGATCAGTGCAGCCAGTCAGAAGCTCTGTTGGGCAGATCCCCACCTGGATCCACTCACTTTTCAAAATCATTTGATGAGCAGCAGGAAAGACGTTGGAGGGCTCCATAGTGCCTGTGGGTGCCATGCTGGGAACTTCTGACTTAATCTTCCCTGACAAACCTTCCCCCAGTTTCTCTTTCTATAGCCATAGGGAGTCTTAGCTGTGGGCCAACCAGGGTAGCGGTCCCATGACCTGTACTGGTGGGGCAGCACTTTGACTCCCTGGCTGCTGAGTTGCCTTGATTGTTGGCCGCTGTTGTCCTCTCGGTTGTAGCTTCCACAACGGAGGATGGAGCAAGATAATTTTGCACTAAGTGGCTTTATTAGATGTGAGTGTGGGGCCTTCTTTAAATTATCTGATGGAAGCATGCGGTTTCTCTTTCTTCTTTCTCCTTCACACCGTTTCTCATTTATAGGCAGAAAGAACAAATGAAGAAGGCAAATGGAGGGAAGGATGTAGATGAAAAACTGCTGTTTCATGGGACGACCAGAAACCATGTTGAAGCTATCTGCCAGCAGAACTTCGACTGGAGGATCTGTGGAGTTCATGGTACCGCCTATGGCAAAGGTAACCTCATTCTGCACCTTGTACCTTTCCTTGACTACAGTGATTTAACTGGAGACACTTGGTCTAAGATGTGATATACTTCCTTTGTCTCCATCTCATATTATTTGATCTAAATAGATTATCAGAATTTCAGGATAGAGGCATAGTAAAATGCCTGGGGGGGGAATGCTTAATAAAATCTGGCGAAAGGTACAAAAATGAGAAAAGTTATCAAACACTTTTGAAGAGTAGTTTAAACATGGAAACTGGAAGGATTCGATGATGATGATGATATTCATATGGGGGAAATATACAAGTAGAACTGACAAATTAGAGGTGAATTTCAAACAGAGCATGAATTAGCAGCACATTATAGCAGAAAATGTAATGCCAAGTTTTAGCAGTCTTAAGAAGCAGATTTGAGGTTTGGAAGTACCATTCTGCTTTGAGTTCAAACATATGCATTTGGAGTACACTGTTTAGTTTTCAAGTCTACACTGGGCTACAGGAGAAACCAGTCCCAGGATCTGCTGTGCTGTAAGGAGATTGCTCTCTGTGGCATGCAGATCCTGGCTGGGTTGGCTTCTCCTGTAGCCCAGTTTAAACCGGGCTGCACGAGAAGCCAGCCCCAGCACAGTTGATCCTTTGGCTGTCTTCTGCAGTCCCTTTGAACTTTAAAGGGACTGCAATAGAATCCTGAAAAACAGCTGAGAGGCAGGAGCTTGCACTGCTGTACAAAGTTTTACTGTTTTTTCTTTTCTGTTTCCACTCCCTATTCCCCTTACAGGAAGCTACTTTGCAAGGGATGCTTCGTATTCTGATAACTACTGCAAACACGATTTAGTCTCCAAGACAATGTTTCTAGCACGAGTATTGGTGGGGGAGTTTACCAATGGTTTGCCTCACTATCTCCGTCCTCCTACCAAAGACAGCCAGAACACTGCTTTCTATGACAGCTGTGTGAATAGCATCCATAACCCGTCCATCTTTGTCATTTTTGAAAAGCATCAAATTTACCCTGAATACCTGATTGACTATTCCACTTAGGTTGTAGGCTGTTGCTTTTCTTTCTGGTCTACAGTCTGCCTGGCAGAAATCTAGATGAAGTCTCTTGCATAATCCAACTAGTGCATACTTCCGTGGCTTTTTTTATACTGTTCATTTTCCCCCCATACGGCCACTGCATACTGCATTAATTTTCACTTAATACCCTCAAGTTCCAATGGGGCTGGCATCCCTTTTAACAATTTCTAGCACAACTTCTGAGTTATCTTTTGCTTTATCACCATTGATTGAATATTTTTGCAGTCACGCATAAGAACTATTCACTTCCTCCGTTTGGAGGTGGCTTCCTATGAACCCATACTGTAGAGGAGTCTTTGTCTGTAAAACCTCAGGTACACGAGGTCACAAATGCAGTAGACCAGTGGGAAGGGGGACTCCCCAATCTCCCCTCCTGTATATCCCTTGAAGCTTAATGTGAGCAGCCCACCTCTGGCACTTTTAATGGCAGAATATCAGAGAAAAGTTATACGTGGATCTGTGGTACCGTCAGAGACCTAGAGTATAACTGCTTGCACTTTCCCTTTTCCCAAACTTCTGTCTCCCATGATACTTCTAGAACTAGAACGGCCTTTAATTTTACTCGATCTACTTGGATTCCTTCGTCTACCTTTTAAAGAAACATGATAACTAGGACTTTTCTTCCTTGAACTTTGTTTTGCACTGATTTTCGTATAGCCTTTGTAATAAGTGCTCTTCATTTTAAAATCCAGATTTTAATGAAAAAGCAACATTTGTCGTTTTTAATAAAACATTTTTTTAAAAATACATGCTGTGGTTACAGAGAAAGGTAACTGTAATACTGCAGTTTGGGGTGCACCGAATATTGCTATGCAACCATTATGTGATTGTGGTCTTTGACTGTGTGGAAACCTGTATGCCTCTCTGAATATTATTCAGGACCATTGAAAAATCTGACTTGTCTGATACTGTTTTGTTAAAATTGTTCTTCTTTTAGTGCAATGGATACATGTAGCTGGGCCTGTGAAATGAGTTTCTTATGGTTTCCAGAGATCACCTTAACTAGAAGCCTGTTTTAGCTCAATAAACTTTTATAGTTGTGAGGCTCAAGTGAATATCACTTGGCTTATCCTTTTCTCGCAATGTAGCTGGTTCCCCTCAAATACAAATTAAAGAGTTACGAATTTGTTTTAAGTTATTCCTTTTGTTTCTCTCACTCTTTTTTTTAAGTGCCATATCTAGTAGTTGTGTCCTTCAGCCAAGAATGCAGTCTTTGGAATCCCTGCTTGCAGAAAGACTTCGCACAGCGAGGGCATGCTGAAAAGTTCTCAGCTCTTTTTATAACTAATCTCATTTTCCTACAGGTTTACTCCGATTCAGAGGTTCTCGGGTCAATGCTGATTCTGTGAACTTAGGCAGATCACAAGAGGGAGGGCAGGCAGGGTTGCCTCAGTGCTTAGTTCTTGTGGCCCTTTCTTACACGCCCAGGGAAATGCTGATCGCCACTTTGAGGTCAGGAAGCAATTGTTCTCCGCGCCAGTTTGGCCAGGGATCCTGCAGGTTTGTTTCTCCCCCCTCTTCTGGGCATAGAGCAGTGGTCACTGGGGGTGTGGAAGGGGGGAGGTATTTGTGAATTTCCTGCATTGTGCAGGGAGTTAGACTAGATGACCCTGGATATCCCTTCCAACTGTATGATTCTATGTGGAAAATAAATGATCCTCTAAATATCAAATTATGGTTGGAATCACTTTAGTTTCTGATCGTTCAGCCCATAGTCTGAGGTAAAAGTTCCTTATGCCCCTAATACATGAATGGACCAAAATTTAAAAGTGAAAACTGGGATTTCTACGAATTTTAGGGTATATGCAGACAGGAAAGTCCATTTAGTTCAAGAGAACAAAGCATGTAGTAACACGGGTGAACAGCAGCCACCTCAAAGCATAATATTTTTGTTCTTCCAGTATTGTCTTCCACTTGAAGGGTGTATGAATGAAGACTGACCCAAGAAATTACAGGCCAGTTAGTCTTACCTGTGTCCCAGGGAAGATACTGGAGCAGATTTTCCTTCTTTGATCAAGTGACGAGCTTACTGGGTCGTAGGAATGCAGTGACGTTATTTACCTGGATTTCAGTAAAGCTTTTGACAGGGTTCCCCACTTTGTTCTGATGGATAAACTGGAGGACTGCGGTCTGGACTCCAGGATAGTTAGGAGGATAGGGAACTGATCAGAGAACTGCACCCAAACAGTAGCTGTCAGTGGTGTTTCATCTGACTGGAGGGAGGTGTATGGGGGGTGCCACAGGGCTTGGTTCTGGGCCTGGTACTTTTCAATATTTTTTATAAATGATGTGGATGAGGAGGTGTAGGGACTGCTCAGTAAATTTGCAGATGACACCAAATTGGGAGAAGTAGCGAATACTTTGGAAGATACAGAATTCAATGAGATCTGAATACACTGGAAAAGTGAGTGGATATGAATAAGATGCAGTTCAATGAGGATAAGTGCAGAGTTCCACATCTGTGTAACAAAAATGAGAAGCAAGCATACTGGATGGGGGACACACGTCTGGTTAGCATTGTGTGTGAACAAGATTTTGGGGTACGGGTGGACCGTAAGCTAAATATGAGCAGTCAGTGCAGCAACGAAAAGGGTTAATGTGGTCTTGGGATGTATCAACAGAGGCATAATGTCCAGATCACAAGATGTCATAGTCCAGCTGTGCTCCGCATTGGTCAGGCTGCACCTGGAGTACTGTTCAAAAAGGATGTGGACAGAATGGAGCAGGTGCAGAGGAGGGTGATGAAGATGATCGGGGGCCTGGAGGCCAAGCCCTATGAGGAAAGGCTGAAGGACTTTGGAATGTTGAGTCTGGAGAAGAGGAGGTTGGTGAGGAGGGACAAGATTGCTCTCTTTTAAGTATTTGAAAGGCTGTAACGTAGAGGAGGGCAGGGGAGCTGATCCTGTTGACAGCAAAGGATAGGTCTTGAAATAATGGGTTTAAATCAGGGCCAGTAAGGTATCTGCTGGATATTAGGAATCCCCCCCCCCCCAGTAAGAGCAGTTCAGTGGTGAAATTGCTGGCTAGGGAGGTGGTGAGCCCCCCTTACGCCATGGCAGTCTTCAATTAGCCATTTTAGGCTGATCCTGCACTAAGCAGGGGGTTGGACTAGATGTCCTTCCAACTCTGTGATTCTACCATTGGCAGAGGCTGAACAGTAAAAACACCTGCTTCATATTCACATTTAATTTTCAAGTTTCATACTGTTCATTCTCAAGGAAAAGGCATAATTTCAGTTACTTCAACAACATCTTTCCCCAACTATTTTTAAAATGACAGCTTACAGCTGAGGTGAAATACAAATTCCCTGAAGATGCTTTGTTGTAATAACCCCTCAATCATAGAAACAGATTTTTAGTTTTGCCTGGTTACAATTACTGAAGCATCATACACGTGTAGATGCTGAGCAAGCTGTAGCCAAACAGCAAATCTTAAAACATCAATATTTGCTTTGTATGGAGCTCTTGCTGTGTTAATGTAAGGCCCTATAAGCTGCCAGACCTGGAAAGCAGCCAACGTGCTAATTTACATACGATTCTATCTGAAGGAAGGGGTTGAGATGGTAGAATGTTCTTGGAAGATGACAGTTCAGTTCTTTTCAGAGGGTTGGACGTTGCGTGGGTTTTAGGCGTGAGTTTTTAATGTCAGGAGCTCTGTTTATTGAAGGCTATTTCCAGTGAATTGGGAGTGGGGAGTGTTTCTTCTGAGCAGATTTATAGAATTTCTGCTAAAGCTAGACCGTCTCCATTTCTCCAGTATGGCGAGGTGCTTGGATACATAGTTGGATTACTTTTCCTTTGCTGACTTAAGGGGAAGTGATACAATTTCTCCAATTCATTTAACTTCAGTTTGCCTTTCGTTTAACTAGAGCTAGTTGTGCATTTGTGTGTATATACAAAATTTATATATTTACACAAAATTTAGTCGGGGGTGGATGGGTTTCTGAGGCATGCCTAATTAAATCTGACCGACTTTACTGCCATTCATCCTGGCCTCTCAGTATCTTCTTCCCATCGCCCTCCCTGCATGGCCGGTATCAGTGGTTGGTGTCACTGGGCAGTTGCTGGGGACACATCCTCTCAGATATGGTCACATTAGCCCATTATATAATGCAGAAGCATGTCATGTGCACAAGTAAGGAAATATGGTTACATCAGTCTAGTTTGGCCCTTAACAACTTAAAGAGTAGTTATTTAGTGTTGAGCTACAGACTAAAAGGTCTGTAGTTTGGCAGTTTGAGACCCTAGTGCTGCGTGACGAAGTGAGCTCCTGTCTCTGGACCCAGCTCCTGCCAACCTAGCAGTTCGAAAGCAAGAAATTGCAAGTAGATAAATAGGTACTGCTTAGGTGGGAAGGTAACAGCGTTCTGCGTGCTTTAGACAGCATTGGTTCTTCGGCTTGGATGAACACCGCCCCCTAGAGTTGGATTCGACTAGCTTTCAAGCAAGGAAAACCTTTACCAGTTTATTTAGTGCTGATCTCCTGTTTAGGGCTGTGCATTCATAAGGAAAACTGAGTCCTAGTTACACACTGACATGGAAGATTCCAGGTGTGTATCTCCCTAATGCTTCATGTTTTTTGGGATGTTATACTGCATCTAATTTTACTGTTCTTGTGCATTTTAGGTTGATAGCAAAAATCACCAAATTAACATGAGTCTGGTCCAGTAAGCAATGATGCAGTCCTGTAGCTCTAGCATTATGTGTGTGCAGTTTCAGGTGTATTTGCTAGCTCCATTTCATTCTCACTAGGCAGTAAAACACTTACTTGATTTGGAAAAAAGATCTGTGACGATCACTTCTAACAGAAAGTGTTTGGGCTGTAGCCATAAGTAATTCAAGTCCTGCAATTCCATTTTGAGGGAGTGAGGAAGAGCCAGTGCTCACCAGTTGCTTGCATTTTGTATGCAGATAATCCCACCTTGAATCTCCAGTGTGTGCTGTTGAAAGGTCTTGTGCAACAGAGCTGGGAGAGGAACCTCTACCTTAAACAGTTGTTTGCGTGATCATTCTAAAATAATTTTGACAAATTTTCCATAAAATGTAGGCCTTTACAATGTGCGCATGGCATAAGGATTAAAATGACGCACCAAATCACATCAAGACAACAATAACAGCAGTTTACAGCCATATGTGTCATCCACTAACAGCAGTACAGAACTGGCAAAAAGCTCTTTTGAATAAAGCAAGCTCCTGTAGAAAAGGTAAGGAGAAAGAGGCCCTCATTTACATTGGTAGTTATTCCACAGCATCTGTGCAATCACCAAAAAAGCTCTGGAAAAGGCAGCTGCTGACCAAGGTCCCCTCCTGGGAGACAGATAGCAAGGAGAGACTGGTGCCTTGAATGAAACTGGTGTACAGCTTCACACTTGGAGAGGCACTCCTTCGGGTAGGAGGGTCCCAGGCTGTGGAGGGCTTTAAAGGTTAAATTCAAAATTGAGCACAGAAATGTGATAGCCGCGGCTGGTAATCTGATACGGGTGTAATTTGACAAAAAGTGACCTGTCTCGGATAAAAGGTGAGCCTCTGCTTTTGAACCCCCAGTGTTTTTCTCCCCCCCATCCAAAGTCAGCAGCATGGCTTCCTCTGAACAATTAGATTTTCTGACCAGCAGCACCATCTGTGTCTTTCCTGGATTCTGCTTCAGCTTGGTCTCCTGGAGCACCATGTCCATGCAGTGGTCCAGGGCTGAGAAGGCTGCTCCTGGAGACTTTGTTAACAAAATGCAGGGCTGCAGGGTGCCAGCAGATTGATGACCCCCAACCCTGAAGCTTCTGTTGAGATCATTAATCAGCCTGGAAAGTACAGGTGAACACCTGAACCCTGCAGCGCTTCACACATCAACTTCCCAAGGCACTGACTCGCCCTGTCTGATGATGTTTCTGTGTGTTCAGAAGCAACCCAAACTGTTAGGACATTTCCCTCACACCCACCTCGCCCTCCAAGGGATTCAACAAAATAGTGATCCAACGCATCAAGGTCTGGTGACAACACCAGTCAGTCAGTGCCTCTGTTCTCCTTTAACCAGATCCTCTACCAGAGCAGCTAGTGCAATCTCTGTCCCCAAACCAGGCCTGAAACCAGACTGAAGTGGATGGAGGGCAGAAAGTGGCTGTCAGTCAGCGCTAATACTTAGGCCAGATGGACTGTTTGTCTGACAGTCTAAGGCTGATTCAGCTGCATTCCTGTATGGTTCACATGAAAGTCTTACAATTTAACCTTTGAATATGAAGCTGCATTCAGACATCACTTTAAGAAGGCACATAGCTTATTTTTATGTTGTGTGCGGTTCACTGGCTCCTCTCTTTTCACAGAGATCCCAAGTAGCTAGGAACTAACTCTAATGTCTGTGATGTATGAATGGAGCTGTGTGAGTTAACCAGAGGTTTCCCGACCCATTCAGATTCTAAATCGGAGTTTAATCCAGCCTTGGAATTCCAGCTTGTGTGTGCACGTGTGTGTATGGGTGGTAGTAGTGGTCACCAGTCAGGTTAAACCACTTGCCCGCATTCCTGGATCACTGGTAACCTCAGACAGAGGGACTGTACATCCTCTGTATTTTAGTGTATTTCTTTTTCAGAATTGTATATTAGACTACTGAATGTAATACAAGGAGTATTGGAATGTTTGGCTGACGTACACTGCTCCCACCTCAAAAAAGAAAGTAAAAATGCCGTTAAGTGACCTCCACATTCTGGGAGTGAATGGAGAGTCTCAGACTTATTTTGACATATTTATTGCTTTACAGGTGTTGACCTTATAACCTTGGCTTGTTATTTAATTCTGTTTTTGCATGTCTTAAAACATCTTCATCATGTTACATGTTAATTTGTTGTTCAGCCCGTCTATAAGTTTGAACCTTACTCTCCCATTCCATTTGGAAAAGTGTGCATGCGCACAAAAGCTCATACCTTGAATAAACCTTTGTTGGTCTTAAAGGTGCCACTGGACTCTAAATTTGTTCCACTGGTAACCAGGTGTTATCTAGCCAGGATTTTCAATGCGAGGGGTGGGGGGAGACATTGGCTTAACAGTGCTTTAAAGTATGTTTGTGTTCCAAACTCTAGACAGGTCTGTTACATTCACAAGTTTCTGCTAGCGATGGCATCATAGCATGCTGAATTTTGTAAACTTCCTTGTTTCATCTTGCTTAGCTGATGTTTATGTTGTAGGCTATTAAGCCACTGTTTCTTTAGTTGTGGCCACAGGTGAGGCTACTGAATATACCTTACACTGCTTTCATTTTTGAATTGGAAACGTTTGGGTTGATGATGGAGATACAATTGTTCTTCCCCGCTGTAACTGTATGGTGATTGTATGTTGTAATTTTACGTTAATATGTTTTAATTTGAAATCTGCAGTCTCATATTTTGTAATCAACATAAAAATCACAACTGTTGCAAGTGAAGCTCATACTTCGTTCTTTTTCATAGAAATAAAAGCCTCCCTGTGATTTGGTTGCTGTTTGAGAATCACTGTGCTCGGCATTTTCCTCCCAACCCCACCCTGAAATCACCATTTAAAGTAGTAGGTAAAACCAGTTGTAGGATTCATGTTTAAGTGCCTGTGATTGCTTGGCTTAAGGACGTTTTTAAAGCTTTCAATTGAGTTCCTGGGTCTTCCAGTATAAGTCCTATAGCTTTGGCTTTCTGTACTTCAAAATAGTCATGCGGTTTAGTTCACATCTCTCAAATTACACAGCACAGCCTGTAGAAACCCCTTTAAATCTAGGAGAAAATATACAAAAGTGTATCTAAGATTGCTCTCTGTGTTCCTTGTGTATAAAGTGGCTGTGATTTGCAGAAGCTTTGCCTTTTGTTTAGTCACCTTTCCACCTGTGGGGAATCCAGACACATAAACCACTCCCATATGATGTGGTATGACCCTTCTGCGGAAGCTGTAGGCTTCCTGAAACCCAGTGTCAACATAAGTGAACATCTATTTATTCAAGCAGCTAATCATGCACCCTTCCTGCACATTTTCACAGGATGTCTGCACAAAGGATTTGTTTGTGTAGGCAGGAACATAACAACTGGGCCTCCTTATCTCTGCTGGCTTGCTGAATTTAGTTCAAGGATAGCAGCTTGCTTACTCCTAGATATTTGCAGCTAAAATATAAATATACTTTTTGCAGCGACCAGAGGAGGAGGCACCGCAGAACGTTCTGTGGTCAGTTCCTTTGTGATGTGATAAAAATCTCACCTGCCGATTTCTGCAGAGCAAACCACTTTTGCAAGCCAGGCCCCCTTCTTCTCCTGACCCGCTCCAGATGATGATACAGAATTTGGCAGTCTCCTTTCTAGCTATTCTGAGTGCAAAGGATGTTTGTGGGGAGTAACTGGTAACATTGCAGAACCCCCAAAGAGAATGGAGGAGGCCGCAGTGTGGCTTTCACCTTTTGTCGTTTTTTTCTTATTTCAGTGCAACATATAAGCAGCCCGGCCCACAGCATTCTTCATTCTAACCGGGGTAAAGATATTCCGTTATGCCAGATATTATGATGGGATTGTTCTAGCTGTCATGAGTTTGTGCTGGGGCCACAAAACCTATGAAGTAGATGCCACTATTGGGAACTGGCTCTTTTAATAAGCATGTGAGGTCTACAAGTAACATAGGCTGCATTTTGTTTTTTGCCATCAAGTCGCAGCCAACTTATGGAGACCCTGTAGGGTTTTCAAGGCAAGCAATGTTCAGAGGTGGTTTGCCATTGCCTGCCTCTGCGTGGCGACCCAGGACTTCCTTGGTGGTCTCCCATCCAAGTACTAACTAGAGCCAGCTTTGTTTTAGCTTCTGAGAACTGATGAGATCCTGGGCCATCCAGGTCAGGTCATAGGCTGCATACAGACATACATAATGATAGTTATGTGGTAGATGTACCATCAGTGCCTCTTGGGCACACACACAACTTCCTTCCTGGATGCAGCTTAGGAAAAACCAGTTTTCCTCTTTTGCAGCTGAAGAGGCGGGTCACAGTGCTGATTGGCTGTTCCCTGTGTTAATCGTGATCCCAACATCCCTTTTTGGGATGGGTTTTTGAAGTAGGGTTGCCTGCTCTGCGTTGTGAAATACCTGGAGATTTCAGGGGTGGTGCCTAGGGTAGGTGGGGACATCAGCCAGGTACAATGCCATAGAGTCCACTCTCCAAAGCAGCCATTTTCTCCAGGGGAATGGATCTCTGTAGTCTGGAGATAAGCTTTAATTCCTGGGGCTCCCCAGGTCCCACCTGGAGGTTGGTAACCCTATTTTGAAGTGTAAGGCGTATTTTAAAAAAGAGGTGCCAAGCGTTTAAGAGGCTGATAAATGTGCCTGGAATGAGAACAGCCTTCCCGAGGCCTGGGGGAGGACAAAGAAGAGGAGCCGATCCGCATGTTATTTGGAGGCTGTACCTGGGGTCCCAGGAGGAGCCAAGCAGGAAGGAGCAGAAATTGGCTTTCAGCAGAAAGAAACTGCAGGGATGTCTGTAGACATATTTACATAGATATATTTGATTTTTAAAAATTTCTTTACAGTCTGCCATTCTCACTGTGACTCAAGGTGGACAGGCCCCACTCATCTCACTGAAACTCAAGTAAACACAGATAATATTTTTCACAGAAGTTATTTTCTACAAAGGTCCAAAACTGTTTATTTGGTAACAAGGCGTGAAATGCTGTGACTCCTGATAGCAAATGAGGTGTCGTAGCCACCAAAGGACAAGTCAAAGGCTATGTATGCTGAAGGGACAAGTGCTCCCAGAAACTAGCTGATCACATGGATCTCACTGACCAGCCTTCAATCCCAGTAGAAGTGGGGAAAGGATTGCATTTTTTTTTTTTGCACAGATGAAGCGGCTCTTAGTGACAGGGTTTAGAATGGAATGCAGACTCCTTGCCTGCCAGCTCCCCAAAGTCACACAGATCCACCCTGAAGTGGACCTTCCTAGATTTTTTTGAGATGGGGCTTTCCAATATACTTGTTCCCTCAACATCATTTAACACACCTTTGCCTCCTTACCAAGGCAGATGGAAAAGAAAAGGCTGTTCCAGTGCAGTTTCACAATTACAGAAGCAACGCATCACCCGGCAAGCTGTCATCTCCTTGGAAGACATATAGAAATCGGATTCTGCTCTATCGAGAAACTATCTTGATGTAGACTCCATTCTTCGGTCCTAGTGTAGCTTGAGATTTCAGCTGCAAAGGAATCTGGGGAAGGGAACAGAGACATAACATGGACCAAGTTGCATAAACATGTCATAGCTACAGCTTGTAAGGTGTTGGGCAACCTACTCAGGAGATGTACTTATAACAGTAACAATCCCACCTTTGTTTCATTATGTAACTCAAGGAGGCATGCACAGGGCTCCCAGAAGGTGTCCCGTCCAACCACTGACCAGATCTTGGCCTGCATAGCTTCAGCAAGGCTGCTACATCTTATATCTCTTTATCATAGCTCTAGGAATAAGGCCTGTTGTGGAAATAAATACAACAGACTCTGGAAAGAGGCTCTGGGTGACTTCCGGTTTGACGGCGCTGCGAGCGGTCGGGTTTCGGATCATCTTCGAACCGACCGGCTCCCATTCGTCTTGTTTGGGGCTCTTCGTTTGGCGGACGAGCTCCGCTTCCACTCCTGGAGGAAGGGGAAGTCGCAGGGGGCTTACTGCTTCCCCCGTTGACGGCGAATCGCGGGGGGTGAAGCCGGCTGCCCCGAAGCAGAGACGAAGTTAGGGATGAACACGGCTTCCGTGTTCAACAAGCAGTGACCAGCCGTTTTAACGTTTTTTCCAATGTTAAGAAAATGGTACCCTTTTTTTGGCACATATCTTTGCAAGAAACGAAGACTGCGAGGTAAATACCCCCCCCCAAGTAAACCTCAACTAATTGGTGAAGGCGGCTATGGAAAGTCAGAGGAGAGTTGGAAGTAACGAAGAAACGGGGTAAGAACAAATGTGTAGCAGACTATAAAAGTTAATTAAGAAATTGTGGATAACTGTGAAAAGGAAAGGAACTGTGGAAAGGAATTTGAGGGTAGCGATGTTAAAAGCTTTATGGACCATTCGTAAATCTGTTTAAAGTGGAGTGAAAAAATGGCGGCGGCGAAAACGGAGGAGGAGATAGAACCTGAGATAATTCTACAATTAAAAGACTTTAATGTGGAACAGTTTAAATCATTTCTGGAAGAATCTATTAAGCAAGCGATGGTGACAGCGGTAGCAACAGCGTTTAAAAATGTATTTGGAGGACAACGGACTCCTCAGGAGGAGGTGGAAAATAAGGAGGAAATGGAACAACTTTCATCTGTGTTAAAACAACATGAGCTAGACCAGGAGAGGGAGTCTCCAATTAATCAAGCTTTGCACACAGAAGATATACTGCAGGATTTTGAACTCTTTTCAAGGAGTCAGTCAAAGAAAGGGAAACCTCTAAGACCTGAAATACAAAAAAAAAGACGACATACACTAAAAGGACAAGTTAAGAAAAAGAGAGAGTTAAGAAGAGTAGGAAGGAACTTTGAACAAAGAAGTCTGCAGAGAAGGAGAGAGATCAATGCCAAGACTTAAAGCTATGTGAACGCAAAAAGCTCAGGAATTTAAAAGAAACTCAGAAGGAACAACAGAGAAAAGGATACAGTTTAAAATGCCAGGGGAAGGAAAAGAAAGAATTTAAAAAATCTAAAAAGAACTTTAAACATAACAAAAGAATGAAGATGTATCTATGGGAAGGGACCTGGCAAAGTTTGGTCTTAAGGCTACTGGAATTTAAAAACTTTCGACACCTAAAAGAAGTAGAAAGAGAAGAAGAAGAAACAGAGAAAGGAAGGGGAACTAAGAGACTAGGGGTTTATTTGTCTAGAGATATTTTCATGTTGTATTAGATTTTGGTATGTAAGAAAGAATGGAATGACTGACTATGAGTAAGGTAGCTGTCTGTAGTATTAAAATTAATTAGGACTGCAGAGCTAATAAATTGCTGAAGTAGAAGTATTATATGGGGCACTGTTTGCATATAGGATAAAGCTTAGGTTTGGAATGGGGATGAAAGTAATTTAATTTGACTAAAAGTAAATTTCACAGAATAAGAGGAAGGGGAAAATAAAATAAAACAGTTTTGTTAGTGTTGTAATAAGTAAATGGATTTAGTTAGGTGTATTTATATGTAAGAATTATTATTATTTCGTTATGTAGCATAAGGATACTCTATTATTAAGGAAGTAATGTGGTTGGAATAGGGCATATTGTGTTGATTTGTGAAGGAAAACTTTTTGGTTTGGTATTTATAAGTTGATGATTAGGAAAGCAAAGGTGTAAGTATAAACAGTTGTTAGAAATAAATGGTCAAATACAGAAGAAAAGGAGGAATTTCTATGGAGCTAATAGAAATTAAGATGATGTGTGATATAGAAAATAAGTACTGGAGACAGGGAAAACTATTTGTCTAATCCTCAGGCTATTGACCACGTGTAAGGGAAACTGAGATATGGTATAGGAGTAAATAGGTATAAGATGCGCTACTAGAAAATTTGCAGTGGAGAAGTATTAATTAAAAGAATGATGTTATTGGTTACTGTATAATCTTGTAAAGGTACCAAAACTATCTATATCTATGTATTATGTATTTGTGTGTGTTTGTTTGTTTGTTGATATGTGTGGAAATTAATAAATAGATTATCAAAAAAAGAAAGAAAGAGGCTCTGGGTGGGTGCCCCAGCCTTGAGCACTCAGTGTCAATTTGCTGTGGCAACCTCAGCAAGGTATAATGACACCGAGTCCACCATTTTCTCCAGAGGAACTGATCCCTGCCACCTGAAGAACAGTTATAATTTTGAGTGATCTCCAGCCCTCAACTGGAGATTGGCAACTATGGTTCCCCAGGAGGGAATGGCTGGTTTGTAGGGTGGAGTCTATGGCACTGTACCTGAGGTCCCACCCCTCCTCAAACCCCACCCTCTCCAGGCTCCACCCCTCAAATCTCCAGGAATTTCCCACCTGGAATTGGCAACCCTATCTCCTTCCCAGCCAATCATCAATCTACCTTTATTTTCCCCACACTCTTCAGCTTTCCACCCCTCTCCACCTGCAGCCTCTACCATGCTCTGAAGCCCTGACTGCTACGTCACATTGGCTGTCATACAGGGGCCATCTCAGCAGGATATAAGGACACAGAGTCCACCATTTTCTCCAGGGGAACTTATCTTTGCCATCTGGAAAGCAGTTGTAATTCTGAGTGATCTTCAGCCCTCACCTGGAGATTGGCAACAATGGTTTCTCCCAACAGGTACTAAGGGTACCTCAGAACACGTTTTACCTCAGAACAGCAACAGAAAGGCCAATGAGGCCACATATGCAAACGACCTCTGTGCTCCGAGGCAAAGGCCAATGAGGCCACATATGCAAATGACCTCTGTGTTCTGACTGGCTATGGGAGGGAGAGGAACAGCAAACTGTTTAGAATGCTGGAGGCAGGACTCAGGCAACGCAGCCAGTGGATAGGGAGACCCTCTGAATGACAGATCTGGCAGCGAACCGATTTGGGACCGTGTTGGAATGTTCAGGAGAGTCCATGACCAAAACAGAATTATATATAAGGAGAGATGCTCTGACCATGTGTCTGCCTATGTACCCTGGCTCAGGGATAATTGTCAAGGGGTGCAACTGCCTTCCATTTCTGTGCTCAGTTTCCATGTGAGTTTTGGTAAGGCCAGAGAAGAGGCTTTGAAACAGGATGGGGAAGGGGGAGCACTGGAGTTCCACTAATGTTTAATGCAGGGACCTAGTACTAGTGGATAAGTTTCTCTGATGGCAGAGTTCGAGCTCTTCTCAGTCCAACCACAGCTATAGGCATGCACATTTGTGGTGGAACTGAATGGAGCAACCTTTTCCAAGGACACTTTTTTCCTTGTTCCTCAACACCTTCCGAAGGCAAATGTTAAATCCAAGAAACAGCACTGGTACAAACCTGGGTCTTGGGGCAGGTTTGAAACCTGAACTTCTGCAAGATTCTTAGCAGTGTTATCTTGATCTCCATCAAAGCCAGCTTCACACCGATGCAGCCACGAGGGCCTGCGCCAAAGGGGAGATAGGAGAAGGGGTGGCGTTGCCGCTTGGCCTCTGCTGTAAACCTGGGAGTCAGGAAGATTAAACAGCTGCGTGAGAAATGGTGGGGAAGGATTAATGGGCCCATGGCAAACATTGCAGGGATGATGGTGAACTCGATTTGATGCCAGATGCTAATTTCAATAAAAGATATGTGGAATTCCTATCATCCAGGAAAAAAATTGTATCTGCAAAAAAAAATCTCTGGGGAGGGCACAGCATGCAGCTATCTTAAGGGATAGCTGTTCTGGGACTGATGAAGAGGAAGAAGAAGAGATTGGATTTATACCCCACCCTTCATTACCCAAAGGAGTCTCAGAGCGGCTCACAATCTCCTTTCCCTTCTCCTCCCCACAACAGACACCCTGTGAGGTAGGTGGGGCTGAGAGAGCTCTTTCTAGAACTGCCCTTGAGAGAACAGCTCTGAAAGAACTTATGACTGACCCAAGGTCACACCAGCAGCTGCATGTGGAGGGGTGGGGAATCAAACCTGGTTCTCCCAGGTTAAAGTCCGCACTTCTAACCACTACACCGAACTGGCTCTCTGATAGAGTAATATGACAAAATCCATATACACATGAACATGTAAAAAGACGGAGGGGACTGACATCGTTATGAAGGAAGGCTGGGAGACCCCACCATTCCAAGACACAGGTGTGTTCCATTACATCACAGAGAGCACACAGCAAAGCAAGATCCAATCCAAAAAACTATGCAATGAGGTTGAGTCTGACCACCCTGACATATGATGAAGTCACATTGAAAGACATTTTCTGTAGTGAACCCTACTGAAACAAGCCTGTGAGTACCAAACTGGCATCTGAATCAGCACTCTCTGTCTCTTGCCCTCTGGGCTGTATGTATGTACCAACTGAGGGTTGCATATGTCAAAGAAGGTTCTGTCTTATGAAAACTTATGCCACCATGAATGCATTAATGTTTAAGGTGCAATTTCTTTGCAGTCATAGGACAGTTAAGGTAAGAGCATAGAAAAACATGCACAGTTAACTGCAGCACTTCCATGCCATGCGGAAGGACAAGGTGATGAGGGAGGTTCACATGCAACATGTAAATCAAGATGCTTTCGATAACAGGTAGAATGGATCTCAGTGGGGACAGTGGAGGAAGAAGAGTACATCAAGAGGTGGGCAAGATGAGAAAATGGGGGAGAAAACGAGCTCTAACTGATGAAGAGAGCAAATGATTTCTTCCAGTGTGTAGATACCATTGTGTTTTGAGCTCTCAGCTCCTTATCAGGGGACCATCACAAAGAATGTACAAATAATAGTTTCATACAATTTACACTACACTTGTACGGAAATAGTAGTTAAAACAAGAAGACATTCCAATTATATAGGTATAGAAATGATTCAATAATACACTAGAAGAAGAAAAAATTCTAAAAGTCCAATTCCACCCCCCAACAAGAACAAAAAACAAATACTAACGTAACATAATAATGAAACTGTAATGAAAGAGAACTAAATCTAATAATAAACTACAAACAAGAATGTAGAACTGATGAAGAACTAATCGCTCAAAATGCATTAGGGTTTACAGATTGGAATAAATTAGTTGGCTTCTGCTCCTACTAGAGGTTCATTCCCTACCCCCGTTCCTTTGATAGTGCTGCCCCAGGGGTTTGTTGTGTCAGGTGAAACATGTCCAGATACTGCTGAACATATAAGAAGATCGAACTGAAAAAATTGTGGAGAAACCAAGGTCTACCAATTTATTTATTTATTTTTCATATTTATATCCCATCCTCCCCAATGGGCTCAGGGTGGCTCACAAAGGCAAGTTACCAAGTAAACTATTTCTGGGTGTATTAGATGTAGATGTTGGAAGCATGTCCCATTTATTAGTGCCAACCTCAAGCCTGGTTTATTCTCAGGCTTGCAAACTCCCCACCTCCTCCTCTGGCATGTAGAACCATAGCTGAAGACTTTCTGGTTTAGGAAGACTTCGATCTGGCTCCAATTTGTCATTAGGTCCCACTTTCAGGGGGCTGAAAAATTGAGGCTTGTTACTTTCAAAGTTCTAAAACCAGGATTACACTGTGATTTAGACTCCTGATTACAGAGAAAGAAACGAATCCAGATTTGTTGAGGCCTCTGCATTGGAACATGACCACACACTGATGAGGGAGAGAGAAGGTGGGACACAGTGCATGAGCTCAAGACTAAACCAGACTCATCCTCACCACAAACAAACCCTGCTTTTCTCATAGTAACTGACTCTCTATTCTGCGCGTCAAGCATCTTCCTTTCTTTATTAGCCACGTGAGACACAGCGTGTGTGATCTGATTAGGTCTGAACAAAGATACAAGAAAGGAGAAAAGGCAGTTCACATACCTCTCAGGAATAAACTTCTCAGGTTCTGGCCAGATCTTCTGGTTGTAATGGAGGTGCCCAACGGCAATTTCTACTACAAAACCAGCAGGTACATGCTGTCTCAAAATTACGCAGTCTTTTGATGCTTCACGGGTGAACCTACAAGAGAAAAGGTTAAATATTTCAGGGACATAAGGACAGGAAAGGGAAGACCCACTGAAGCTTTTGAATGTAAACCATCAATGTTGGGCCTGCCAAAAGGAAGGGAAAGATCTGTGATCACTGAAGAAACAAATAGTCCACAATGTGTAGAGAAGATGTTTCAGTCCATAAAGATTACAGTGATGGAATCGTAGCACTACCTGAACCAAAAGAGCTAGTTGCTGCAACTGCTTGTTCTAAACAAGTTAATACTACTCAGACAGCTCATTTCTGAGTTCTGTGCCTTCTCTATTCATCTGCTTCCACCATGAATCCAACCCAGCCATTTTGACAGAGTGACCAAAGAGCACTGCTGGGTGTTTTAAAGAAAATTCTCCTTCAAAGAGAGATTTCAGCTGTGTCCACTGACCTGAATGCAGGTGGATACATGCGTAGAGTCTCTGCTATCACCATATCCAGGTAGAGGAGGTCATGCATGTTTTGGTAGTCAGGAACATCCTTGAAGAAAACAAAATCACTCTTATTGTGATCTAGAATACAAAATCCTGATCAAATGTCTTCAGTGTGGTGTAGTCGGAAGAATGCTGGATGTACAACTGGGGGGGGGGGAACATGGGCTCATATCCCCACTTGCCTCTAAGCACATTGGCTATATTGGGCTAGTCACAATCTACTTACCTACTAAGGTTGTTGTGAGCATAAACTAGACCCCCTCCCCTATTTCAGTATGCTGCCCTAAGCTCAGGATACACATGTGACTAATAAGAAAAGACATTTTTAGACCATTATATTGTTTTATTAGCATCCTGTGTGGTTTGCATTTCTACTTCAGTCAACTAAGTGGTCTTGACTGTCCCAATTTCTTTGCTTTTCACTTTACTTCCCCCTGTTCTTAGACCAATGTCTTGAACAATAAAACTGAGAAACTTAAAATAAAACCGATATCTAAAAGCACCTCCCTCCCACACTTCTCTGCAGCCTCTAGAAATCAAGGAACAAAATAAGTACATTTAGAATCAGAATCCTCTAGGAGGAATTGAACCTTTTGCTCTAATGTCACTAGAGGAAGCATAGTCCATTCACTAAGGCATGGCACAATCCATTTTAGCCTAAACTGAAGCACATTAGGATGTTGCAGGAGAATATGTACTAGAGCTATCGTAAATCTTAAGGTGGAGGATGTTTTTACTTCCCCTGTAAATCAGTGCAAAATACATGTGGCCAAACTGATTCATGCCAGAAATAAATAAAGAGTTATACCCATTTTGATGCTCGGAGGACAGGTTCTCCGCTTTCTCTGCTTGCCTTGGGCCTTCCGTCTAAGGGTAAACTCCCTTCTTCCTTTTAGTCAGCGCCAAGTTATGTAGGACCTTTATGCAGTCACGATGTAACTGCCCTTTTCCAGTCGTATTGCTGAGTCGACTCTTCTGCTAAGGATCCCTTTCTCAGGTCGTTTATGCCCCTGCCCCCTCCAGTGAGTCGACTCCCTTGTACATATTCTCTTGCAGTGTCCTTATATGCTTCAATTCCTCCTAGAGGACTCTGATTCTAAATGTACTTATTTTGTTCCTCAATTTCTAGAGGCTGCAGAGAAGTGTGGAAGGGAGGTGTTTTTAGATACTGGTTTTATTTAAGTTTCTCAGTTTTATTGTCCAAGACATTGGTCTAAGAACAGGGGGGTATAAAGTAAAGTAAGTAAAGGAGGTGGCCCACTGGATGTTTGTGACATGTGTAAAGGATCTTCCCAATTTCCTGAATTCCTCATATATCATAATTGCTCTAAAAGTAGCAAACAATCCTTTTTCTGGATTTAACAGCCTAAAGGCCATGCATCCTTAATATAAACTCAGTCTGCCAGATGTACAGAAATTATATAGCAAAATAAAGCAACATCCACCATGCAATTTTTTTAGTTTGCAGAAAAATAAGAATTGCAGTTTCCGACCATCAAGAATGCTTGCCAAGTGTCCAATCCAGGGAGTAATACATTTATCACAAGACTTTTAAAAATAACAACAATACCAAAAGTATGAAATATGCAGTCCAGGAGATGAGAACAAAAAAACACATGTGCAGTTTTCTGAAGGGATATTTTTAATCTTCCTGTCATTTCAGTTGCGCTATAAGTGTTACATCACCCTAACATATCTGCTCGTCTAAATGTAGGAACTGTAAAATAATAAGAATCGACAGTAAAACCATCCTCAAACATGATGTTAGAGAGAAGAAGAAAAGAAGAGATTGGATTTATACCCCGACCTTCAGTACCCAAAGGTGTCTCAGAGCGGCTTACAAACTCATTTCCCTTACCCTCCCCACAACAGACACCCAGTGAGGTAGGTGGGGCTGAGAGAGCTCTTGACAGAAACTGCTCTATTTCACGAAGAGCTCTTATCAGAGCTAAGGCTTGCCCAAGGTCATCCAGTCAGGTGCAAGTGGAGGAGTGGGGAATCAAACCTGGTTCTCCCAGATTAGAGTCCGCGCACTTAACCACTACACCAAACTGGCTCTCAGTCCCTTATAATGTAGAGGAGAACATTTACATTTGGCACCAGTAACTAACAACTGGATCTAACAAACCCCAAGTAGCAAAGAATGTAGTTGGTATGTTCCCCCCCTAAAATTCCTTAACATTTCTCCAGTATTTCATATCAATCTGTTCTGCCCCCCTTTGGCAGTGGGGAAGGGCCAATGGCACAGCCAATACAATTTCCTTCCACCAAAGCTCAGGCTACCGTTGGGGAAATTGCCGCAACAGTACAAGCCACTGCTCGGTCCTGCCAGATGAGGGCAGCAAAACTGCATGTATTACTTTGCCAAGCAAAGCCTAATATATCTGAAGAAGTGTGCGTGCACATGAAAGCATATACCTTGAATAAAACTTTGTTGGTCTTAAAGGTGCCCCACTGGACTCGAACTTTGTTCTAAAGCCTAATATATGTGATTCAAACAGAAGATTCTCTGGAACAAAAATGACAGGATACAGTGCCAGAAGTCTCTGTGTTGAGAGGAGCTCAATGTTGCAAAAATCTGGGGTTTCTGGGGCTTAACCACAGTAGCCACACAGGCTTGTGTTGTCAGCCTTCTGTTTCATAAATCTTTTGCATATTATTCCCATGGAAAAAGAGTCAGCAAACTGGACACTAATGTACATGGCCAAATTGCCACTCTAATCCAGAAAGGACAATGGGGCACGGGGGGGGGGGGGGGGCAAATGAGGGGGGGGGGGGGGGGGCCCAAAGGATGAAGGCTCCATTTAGCTGACTGCTTTACATACTACCGGGTAAGCAATGATGGAGGGTGTTTTTGCATATCTTTCCCTTAAACTCCTGGACATCTCTTCTACAGGGTAAATAGGATCACTAACTATTCCCACAATACGCAGAAATCCGGCCTGAATCATCCCACTTTATCCACCCCATCGATGCTGAACAAATGGTCGATGAGAATTAAAAAGAATATATACAAAAAAATCCAAAAAAAGCACAATCCAGCAATTTAAGAGCAAATACTTAGCATCAGCATTGACCTTAGTGTCCGCTGAAATCCAATCCTGTTTATTTCATCCAGGATCAGCAAATATGCCGGAAAAACTTCTTGATCAAATTGGATCAAAGCCTATTGAAAGATCAAAGAATGAAGCTTGGATGCCTGACCTTTGCCAACTTCTAGAGGCAGGATAATCTACCAACAAAACTAGATCCAGCTCCGTTTCATACCTGGGGCGACAGAGGTCAACGAAACCTGATAATGTTGGACAATATTAGAGGCATCTCACTGCCACCTTCTGCCATAACCATCTCAATATAGATCCAGGTGGGCAGCCATGTTGTTCTAAAGTAGTAGAACAAATTTTTGAGTCCAGTAGCATCTTTAAGACCAACAAAGGTTTACTCAAGGCATGAGCTTTTGTGTACACACACACACTTCTTCAGATACATATCAATATATACAAGAGTTACTGGCAGGACATTGTTCTGAGATGGATTCACACAAACTATCTGGCAGGGTTACTGGCTGAACCAACGTTTTGTATTACTTAGTTATATACTTCAATTATACCCCACCTTTCTCCCCAGTGGGGACGCAAAGCAGCTTACATTGTTTTCACCTCCTTTTTATCTTCACAACAACCTAATGAGGTAGGTTAGGCTGAGAGAGAGTGACTGGCCCAGGGTCACCCAGAGAGCTTCCATGGCAGAGAGGTGATTCAGACCAGGGTCTTCCATATCCTAGACTGAACACTCTAGCCACTGTACCACACCACTGTAGGTAATCACAGATTCATAGAATCAACCCAGAAACCAGGACACTGGTACAGAGGGTTGGCCTTTGTCCCATGTACCAGTTCTGTATTCAAGGCCATGAGAATCACAGGAAATGGAGATGGTGGTCATGTCTCAATAGTGTGGAAAGCTGAGCTGGTTTATACATTCAGAAAGGCCACATAGTGTTTTCTCCAGAATGTACACTGTAGAACACAGGTGTCATGTTGTATGTTTGAATGCCTTCCTGCTTTAAAACTTTCCTACTCACAGAATACTAATATGTCAGGGAGAAGAGTTTTAATCTTGCCTCCTCCCAGTTGGGGTACTTTTCTTCATGAAGGGAAGATTTTGTTTTTCTAACACGAGGAAACCTATTCGCATGCAGTACAGTCAAGAGGCCTGTAAAATGAGGAACACTGATATTCTAGAGCTAAAATCTATCTTTGGTTCATTTGATTTTTACCTCAGTGTTTGAGTTTCTAAGCTGGTAACAGCCACTAACATAGTCACAATATCCTTTCTGCCTGGGCAAAACATTACTCACCCTGCCTATTACACTACTACTTTTCCTCCTCTGCCCCATCAGAGGTTATTTTTTCTCTTTTCATTTTTTAGTTTGACGATCTACATTTCTGCCTTTTCAACTATCCTTGCTACAAAGAACATGTTTTTTTAAAAAACCCTTTAGTTAATCTAAGTTAAAGATGTCATTGTTTGACTTTCCAGATCTTCATATTTCTGAGATATTTGTCAGATTTAGAAGGCTGACTGGAGACTTCTTTTTTTTTTAAAGATACATAATACAACCTGGAAAAACTTTCACTATTTCACCATTCCTATAAGTCTGAGCATCACATACTTCACACTCATGAAAACAAACAATTCAGTTAACCACATGGCTTATGAAATATCCACCACAGGGACTGTTCTGTGAAATATCCACCACAGGGAACGGGCCTGCTCTGGCCTGCAGGCCCTATTCAACCCTCCCAGGTTTTTCTAAACATCTGGAGAGCCTTTTCTTTCTCTCTGGTAACTTACTGCCACCACCACCTGACCTTTGTAAGGGACTGCTCACTGGAAGGGTCAGGACTCCCAGCTTCGCTTCCAGTTCTGAGGCCTTGCCTCTGTGTCTCCTGCTGCCCAGCACCTGGTCAACACGGGAACAGGTTACTGCCTTGTGCCCCCTGGAGGAATAGCCACTTGCCAACTGCCTGCTTTCCCCCTGGCACTCCGTTTAAAATAGTGTGTCCAAGATGGTGGAGGCCTACGTGGTACAGAGAATTATGCCCAGCATCAAAAGTCATCAGGTATTTATTAAAAGAAAATGTTTACAAGCATACTTTTAGCACCGCACCAGATTAAGCAAGGGATTCCAAAAGAAATTAGTAAAACACAAAGCCTCTGTCTCTCCATCTATCAGATACTGAAATACAAATCCCTACAATGTTACCATTACCTTGAAGCTCCTCCAGCTCTTTAGGCCAGCACATGGTCAAAAATGGCTGCCTTCCTGGAGGAGAGGTCTGCGTGCACTCAGGGACTCAGCACACAGAGAAAAGAGAACTTCCTCCTGGCTGTTTTGAGTTTTATCATATCTGTTTCTCCCCCCCCCCTCCCCGACCTTGGTCAGGCCAGGTCAAGGAAGCTTTTCCTGATCTTCAGGATTTCCTTCCTGGAGATTATCCCTGGAGCCTCTATAATCTAAAGTCCTCCAAACTTGTGTTCCCTTCTTGGAGAAGGGAGAGAGCTAGACCTAACTATTATATTTCCCGCTAGATCTATTAGCATTTGTATGAAGGTGCGTTGAGGTACCTCTGGTAAGCCATTGAACTGACTTCCTCCTTTACAACCTGTTCTCTGCCCAGAGGGAAAAAACCCATTTAAAATGCAACGTGAAGGTTTTGCTCATTTCAAACCTCCCAGGAAAAAATGCATTTCTTCACAGTCCCACTCCAAAGTTAGCTGAAATCAGTGAAGCAAAATATTGTGTGTAACTACCTATGCAGGTCTATATAGAGAAGCCCATTGGCTTCTACGAGCTTAGACTAGAGGGTCTCTG